GTCTCAAAATAACTCTGTTTATACAGCCCCAGATTACAAGTGTGACCTGCTTTCACGTGTAAACAGAGTTGTTTTGAGACGTCTCAAAATAACTCTGTTTATACAGCCCCAGATTACAAGTGTGACCTGCTTTCACGTGTAAACAGAGTTGTTTTGAGACGTCTCAAAATAACTCTGTTTATACAGCCCCAGATTACAAGTGTGACCTGCTTTCACGTGTAAACAGAGTTGTTTTGAGACGTCTCAAAATAACTCTGTTTATACAGCCCCAGATTACAAGTGTGACCTGCTTTCACGTGTAAACAGAGTTGTTTTGAGACGTCTCAAAATAACTCTGTTTATACAGCCCCAGATTACAAGTGTGACCTGCTTTCACGTGTAAACAGAGTTGTTTTGAGACGTCTCAAAATAACTCTGTTTATACAGCCCCAGATTACAAGTGTGACCTGCTTTCACGTGTAAACAGAGTTGTTTTGAGACGTCTCAAAATAACTCTGTTTATACAGCCCCAGATTACAAGTGTGACCTGCTTTCACGTGTAAACAGAGTTGTTTTGAGACGTCTCAAAATAACTCTGTTTATACAGCCCCAGATTACAAGTGTGACCTGCTTTCACGTGTAAACAGAGTTGTTTTGAGACGTCTCAAAATAACTCTGTTTATACAGCCCCAGATTACAAGTGTGACCTGCTTTCACGTGTAAACAGAGTTGTTTTGAGACGTCTCAAAATAACTCTGTTTATACAGCCCCAGATTACAAGTGTGACCTGCTTTCACGTGTAAACAGAGTTGTTTTGAGACGTCTCAAAATAACTCTGTTTATACAGCCCCAGATTACAAGTGTGACCTGCTTTCACGTGTAAACAGAGTTGTTTTGAGACGTCTCAAAATAACTCTGTTTATACAGCCCCAGATTACAAGTGTGACCTGCTTTCACGTGTAAACAGAGTTGTTTTGAGACGTCTCAAAATAACTCTGTTTATACAGCCCCAGATTACAAGTGTGACCTGCTTTCACGTGTAAACAGAGTTGTTTTGAGACGTCTCAAAATAACTCTGTTTATACAGCCCCAGATTACAAGTGTGACCTGCTTTCACGTGTAAACAGAGTTGTTTTGAGACGTCTCAAAATAACTGTGTTTATACAGCCCCAGATTACAAGTGTGACCTGCTTTCACGTGTAAACAGAGTTGTTTTGAGACGTCTCAAAATAACTCTGTTTATACAGCCCCAGATTACAAGTGTGACCTGCTTTCACGTGTAAACAGAGTTGTTTTGAGACGTCTCAAAATAACTCTGTTTATACAGCCCCAGATTACAAGTGTGACCTGCTTTCACGTGTAAACAGAGTTGTTTTGAGACGTCTCAAAATAACTCTGTTTATACAGCCCCAGATTACAAGTGTGACCTGCTTTCACGTGTAAACAGAGTTGTTTTGAGACGTCTCAAAATAACTCTGTTTATACAGCCCCAGATTACAAGTGTGACCTGCTTTCACGTGTAAACAGAGTTGTTTTGAGACGTCTCAAAATAACTCTGTTTATACAGCCCCAGATTACAAGTGTGACCTGCTTTCACGTGTAAACAGAGTTGTTTTGAGACGTCTCAAAATAACTCTGTTTATACAGCCCCAGATTACAAGTGTGACCTGCTTTCACGTGTAAACAGAGTTGTTTTGAGACGTCTCAAAATAACTCTGTTTATACAGCCCCAGATTACAAGTGTGACCTGCTTTCACGTGTAAACAGAGTTGTTTTGAGACGTCTCAAAATAACTCTGTTTATACAGCCCCAGATTACAAGTGTGACCTGCTTTCACGTGTAAACAGAGTTGTTTTGAGACGTCTCAAAATAACTCTGTTTATACAGCCCCAGATTACAAGTGTGACCTGCTTTCACGTGTAAACAGAGTTGTTTTGAGACGTCTCAAAATAACTCTGTTTATACAGCCCCAGATTACAAGTGTGACCTGCTTTCACGTGTAAACAGAGTTGTTTTGAGACGTCTCAAAATAACTCTGTTTATACAGCCCCAGATTACAAGTGTGACCTGCTTTCACGTGTAAACAGAGTTGTTTTGAGACGTCTCAAAATAACTCTGTTTATACAGCCCCAGATTACAAGTGTGACCTGCTTTCACGTGTAAACAGAGTTGTTTTGAGACGTCTCAAAATAACTCTGTTTATACAGCCCCAGATTACAAGTGTGACCTGCTTTCACGTGTAAACAGAGTTGTTTTGAGACGTCTCAAAATAACTCTGTTTATACAGCCCCAGATTACAAGTGTGACCTGCTTTCACGTGTAAACAGAGTTGTTTTGAGACGTCTCAAAATAACTCTGTTTATACAGCCCCAGATTACAAGTGTGACCTGCTTTCACGTGTAAACAGAGTTGTTTTGAGACGTCTCAAAATAACTCTGTTTATACAGCCCCAGATTACAAGTGTGACCTGCTTTCACGTGTAAACAGAGTTGTTTTGAGACGTCTCAAAATAACTCTGTTTATACAGCCCCAGATTACAAGTGTGACCTGCTTTCACGTGTAAACAGAGTTGTTTTGAGACGTCTCAAAATAACTCTGTTTATACAGCCCCAGATTACAAGTGTGACCTGCTTTCACGTGTAAACAGAGTTGTTTTGAGACGTCTCAAAATAACTCTGTTTATACAGCCCCAGATTACAAGTGTGACCTGCTTTCACGTGTAAACAGAGTTGTTTTGAGACGTCTCAAAATAACTCTGTTTATACAGCCCCAGATTACAAGTGTGACCTGCTTTCACGTGTAAACAGAGTTGTTTTGAGACGTCTCAAAATAACTCTGTTTATACAGCCCCAGATTACAAGTGTGACCTGCTTTCACGTGTAAACAGAGTTGTTTTGAGACGTCTCAAAATAACTCTGTTTATACAGCCCCAGATTACAAGTGTGACCTGCTTTCACGTGTAAACAGAGTTGTTTTGAGACGTCTCAAAATAACTCTGTTTATACAGCCCCAGATTACAAGTGTGACCTGCTTTCACGTGTAAACAGAGTTGTTTTGAGACGTCTCAAAATAACTCTGTTTATACAGCCCCAGATTACAAGTGTGACCTGCTTTCACGTGTAAACAGAGTTGTTTTGAGACGTCTCAAAATAACTCTGTTTATACAGCCCCAGATTACAAGTGTGACCTGCTTTCACGTGTAAACAGAGTTGTTTTGAGACGTCTCAAAATAACTCTGTTTATACAGCCCCAGATTACAAGTGTGACCTGCTTTCACGTGTAAACAGAGTTGTTTTGAGACGTCTCAAAATAACTCTGTTTATACAGCCCCAGATTACAAGTGTGACCTGCTTTCACGTGTAAACAGAGTTGTTTTGAGACGTCTCAAAATAACTCTGTTTATACAGCCCCAGATTACAAGTGTGACCTGCTTTCACGTGTAAACAGAGTTGTTTTGAGACGTCTCAAAATAACTCTGTTTATACAGCCCCAGATTACAAGTGTGACCTGCTTTCACGTGTAAACAGAGTTATTTTGAGACGTCTCAAAATAACTCTGTTTATACAGCCCCAGATTACGGGGATCTGCCTCATACAAGTGTGACCTGCTTTTCATAAACCACCCACCTTGCACACCCACCCACACACATACCCACCCACCCACCCACCCACCTGTGAGCTTGAGCTCTGACTCGAGAACCGGCCTGCTTTTGAGTCGACTCAAAAGCTTACCCACCCAACCCAACCAGTCCTGCCCAGCCCGCCCACCCACCTGTGAGTTTGAGAACCAGCCCTGGTTTCCGCATGCAGCCACCCACCTTCCACTCATCCACTCAACCACCCACCCACTCACCCACCCACCCAACCAGTCCTGCCCAGCCCGCCCACCTGTAAGCTTCAGCTCTGACTCGAGAACCAGCCCTGGTTCCGCATGCAGCGCCAGCAAGCTCTCTACACCGCGCACCACCACTCCCAACCTCAACCCCCCTTCCTCCTTCTCCCCTTCCCCTTCCCCTTGCCCGGCCTCCCCCTTCCCCTTGTCGCCAGCAGGGGCGGGGGAGAGGAGGAGGGGGAAGACGGAGGAGGGGGAGGCGAGCAGGGAGGAGAAGAGGGCGAGGAGCAGAGGTTTGGTGATGTAGCGGATGGAGGAGAGGGAGGGGGCGGAGGAGAGACGAGTGAGGGACGCCTGAGGGAGGGGGTTGAGAAAGGGGGAAACGGGGGGGAAAGGTGGGACAAGTGGTTAATTGCAAAACATGTGGACGTGGGGCAGGGGCAAGAGGGCGAAGAGCACAGAAAATAGGACGAAAAACAGAGGCAATGGGGCAAGGAGCAGAGGCTTGGTGATGTAGTAGAGGGTGGGAGAGGGAGGGTGGGAGAGGGACTTTTGAGGCGCCTCAAAAGTTGGTGATGTAGTAGAGGGTGGGAGAGGGACGGCGCGAGGAGAGGCGAGTGAGGGAGGGACGCCTGGGAGAGAGGGCCGGGGGGGGTGTGATATGGGACATGGGAACGGGAGCGACATGGGATGACTTTACCCTCCCGTTAATTTTGGAGGCGCCTCAAAAATCAAGAGGCGAGTGAGGGAGGGACGCCTGGGAGAGAGGGTCGGGGGGGTGTGATTATGTGATTATGTGATTATGTGATTATGTGATTATGTGATTATGTGATTATGTGATATGGGACATGGGACATGGGATAACTAAACCCTCCCGTTCTTCTGTAGCTTCAAATCAAACAGCCTCATATCACGACATGGGATGGGACCTTTCGGAATGGACGGCAAAGGAATGGGAGGGAAGGCGGGGCGATTCGAGAAAAACAGAAAAGCTTGTTTCCCATACGTCCCACCCACCCACTCAGAGCAGCCACAGCGCACCTTGCAATTACTATACTAATCAGTCAGTCCCTCCCCCTCTCCCCTCCTCCTAACCCTTTCCCTGTCCCTTTCCCGTTGCCTCACCTTGGCAAACCGCGCAGCCAGAGCAGCAGCAGCAGGTCCCCCATTGAGTGCCACAGAAACAATGTTCAGGAGCGTGTTTTGACACTTCTCTCAACGCCCACTTCCCCATCTCCTTCTCTTCCCTTCCTTCGCCTCACCTCGGCAAACCGCGCAGCCAGAGCAGCAACGGCAGGCCCCCCATTGAGCGCCACGGCAGCAGCATTCAAAAGCGTGTGCGAGTGCCTGGATGCTCGCCACGTGGCAGCAGGAGAGCCGTCGGATAGCGCGGATGAGACGAAGCACGCGACGCCTTCGAGGACGGAGCGGGGCGGCACGGGCGGCAGGGGAGGCGGCGGAGTGGCCATGGATATGAAATCTGGTACTGGCGTCCGGCCCTGGAAGGCAATTGGGAATCCCAATTTGGGATTGTGTGGGAGGGAATTTAATCAGATTGTGTGAGACCGCAGGATGGACAGGAGGTGAGGGGGCAGCGTGGCAAAGAAGGCGATGGAAGAGCCATGGAGATGAAATACGGTACTGGCGTCCGGCCCTGGAAGGCAATTGGGAATCCCAATTTGGGATTGCGTGGGAGGGAATTTAATCAGATTGTGTGAGACCGCAGGATGGACAGGAGGTGAGGGGGCAGCGTGGCAAAGAAGGCGATGGAGGAGCCATGGAGATGAAATCCGGTACTGGCGTCCGGCCCTGGAAGGCAATTGGGAGTGTGAGGGAAAACGATTCGAGTGTGTGAGTCGGCATGGACAGGAGGTGAGGGGGCACCGTGGCAGGGGAGGCGATGGAGGAGCCATGCATATGAAATCCAGTAGTGGTGTCCGGCCCTGGAAGGGAATCCGGTGTGTGGAGGGGCGTGGGGTGTGTGTAAAAGAAGGAGGCCGCATGGGCAAGAGGGCAGGGGCATGGACAGCAGGGGGAGTGGTGGAGGGGCCATGCAGATGAAATCCGGCACTGGCGTCCGGCCCTGGAAGGGATTGAAGTTTGTGGAGGGGCGTGGGGTGTGTGGGTCGGCATGTGCACGAGGCGAGGGGAGGATACACGTGGGCCGTGGCAGGGGCGGTGGTGGAGGGGCCATAGAGATGAAATCTGGAGATTGAAGTTTGTCCGTCCCTGGAAGGGATTGAAGTTTGTGGAGGGCGTGGGGTGTGTGGGTCGGCATGTGCACGAGGCGAGGGGAGGGGAGGATACAACAAAATTCAACTGGGAAGGGATTGAAGTTTGTGGAGGGGCGTCAGAGAAGGGGGTCGGGTCGGGTGTGTGGGGGGGAATTGGAAATGAGGAAGGGAGTAGAGTGGGCGGAAGGGGAGTCAGTCAGGTGTAGCAGCAGAACCACCACCATCCCTTCAAATCACTCACCTCTCAACCCGCTCACCTTCAGAGAGAAGCAGAGGCAGCAGAACCACCTATAGAAGCACTCACCTGCAGCAGCAACAGCGAGTCGATGGTTTGAAACACTGCTTCGTCCTCATCCTCCTCCCATGCCGTCCATTCTGCCACCAGCCCCACCCACTTGTGCAGCAAGGGCACCACCCCCCACTGCGCAATCACCCCCCACTGCACCACCACCCCCCAGCACACTCACGTTTCAGAGCATTCACCTCCCAACACACCCACCTGTAGTAGTAGTAGTGAGTCGATGGTTTGAAACACTGCTTCGTCCTCATCCTCCTCCCACGCTGTCCACTCCGCCACCAGCTCCACCCACTTGTGCAGCAAGGCCACCACCCCCCACTGCACCACCAGCGCTGCTGCATCTCCGCCTGTAGCACCGGGTGTAGCGGCAGCACCTCCACCATCTCTCAAAGCACTCAACCCCCATGCACCCACTCACCTGCAGCAGCAGGAGCGAGTCGATGGTTTGGAACACCGCCTCGTCCTCATCCTCCTCCCACGCTGTCCACTCCGCCACCAGATCCACCCACTTGTGCAGCAAGGGCACCACTCCCCACTGCTGCACCAGCTCTCAACACACCCAACCTCCCATGCACCCACTCACCTGCAGCAGCAACAGCGAGTCGATGGTTTGAAACACCGCTTCGTCCTCATCCTCCTCCCATGCCGTCCACTCCGCCACCAGCTCCACCCACTTGTGCAGCAAGGGAACCACCCCCCACTGCACCACCAGCGCTGCTGAATCTCCAGCTGTAGCACCACCGGCTGTAGCAGCAGTGGAGGGGGGTGCAGCTGGGGCATTGGCGGCGGCTTTGAGGACGAAAGAGAGCAGCAGAGAGGCGTCGAACCAGGACGTGGGGGGCGGCTCTTTGTCGTCCTCGCCCTCTAGGCCGTCTGATGAATGTGGCTTCACAAGGGACGGATCCAGCTGATGAAGAAAGAGGGTTGGGCGGAAGGAGGAAGGGGGTGCACGTAGGGCACAGGAACTGGGAAGGTTAGTTGGGAGGGCGAAGGAGAGCAGCAGAGAGGCGTCGAACCAGGACGTGGGGGGCGGCTCTTTGTCCTCCTCGCCCTCTAGAGCGGTTGCTGGCTGTGGCTTCAAGAGGGACGGATCCACCTAAAGATTGGGGTTCGGAAGAAGTGGGAGAGGATAGGGGGGGAAAAAGACGGTTCGGGAGGGGGTGAAGGGAAAGGGAGCGGGGAGAGGGGGGAGTGTAGAGCGCAGGGACCAGGGAGGCTTTGAGGACGAAGGAGAGCAGCAGAGAGGCGTCGAACCACGAGGTGGGAGGCGGCTCCTTGTCGTCCTCCTCTCCCTCCCTCCTGATGTGATACTTGTGGCTTCACTAGGGATGGGTCCACCTGTCAAGACGGGGGGGAGAAGAAGGGTGCGGAAACGGAGGGTGTGGGGGGAAAGGGGGGAGGGAGTAGAGCACAGGGATTTCGGAGTTTTGGAGGAGGAAGGAGAGCAGCAAAGGGACGTCGAACCGTGACATGGAGTTTGGCTCCTTGCTCTGCTGGAGGCACTCGGGCCAATCGGGGGGCACTCGGGGGGCACTCGGGGCACTCGGGGGGCACTCGGGGCACTCATGCCACAAATGCTGTTAGATTTCGAGTTGACTCAAAAATCACTCACGGCCCGTGAGTCACGGGTTCTTCAACCAGGCCCCTCGTTGCACGCAAGCCACAGGCACTGCCACCTTCAAAGAGAAGGAAGACGGAAGCCAAGGGGTGTGCTACCGGCTGCATCGCAAGAAGGCAAGGGGGCGAGTAGGTAGCTCACTCACGGGTTCATTCAGCCAGGCCACTCGCAGCACGCGAGCCACAGACGCTGCCACCTCCACTGCCCGGCGACTCCTCTCCTCCGCCCCTGCTGCCCCCTTCCCATCCCATCCCTCTCCTCCCCAATGGGATGGTATGTGAGTGAGGCACTCATGCATCACATTCAGACTGACACAATCCACTCACAGGTTCATTCAGCCACGCCACTCGCAGCACACGAGCCACAGATGATGCTACCTCCACTGATGAGGAACAGGGAAGCGAAGGAGGGGTGTGTTTCGGGCTGCGTTGCAAGAGGGCGAGTGAAGTGAATAACTCACGGGTTCATTGAGCCAGGCCACTCGCAGAACGCGAGCCACGGACGCTGCCACCTCCACTGCCCTTTGACTCCTCTCCTCCGCCCCTGCTGCCTCCTTCCCTCCCCTCTCCTCCCCTTCCTCCTCATCGTCGTCTCCCCCTGGCAGCTCGTCATCAGCCCACGACTCGACGAGAGAGGCGAGCGCTGAGAAGAGCGCCCACACACGCTGTTATGGGGAGGGAAGGGAGGGAAGATGGTCTGAATGAACAAGCACCCCCCCCTGGCAGGTCATCATCGGCCCATGACTCGACAAGAGAGGCGAGCGCAGGGAAGAGCGCCCACACACGCTGATGGGGAGAGAGGGTGGGGAAAGGAGGGCGGATCAGTCAACAACGGACAGCCGTTTACCCCTCTGGCACCTCGTCATCGGCCAATGACTCGACCAGGGAGGCGAGCGCTGAGAAGAGCGCCCACACACGCTGGAAAATGGAGGGGGCAGATGAGAGGAGAGAAGTGTCCAGAGATGCCTCAAGACCCGAATCCCATTCTGGCACTGCACCGCACCATTCCCTCCTGGCAGCTTGTCTTCGGGCCATGACTCGAGCAGAGAGGCCAGCGCAGAGAAGAGCGCCCACACGCGCTGCCGTGGGAGGTGAGGACGGGGAAAGGAGGGGCGAGATTAAATTAGGGGGAAAGGGAGGGCGGATCACTCAAAGGCAGCCGTCGCCCCCTGGCAGCTTGTCATCGGCCCATGACTTGACTAAAGAGGCCAGCGCAGAGAAGAGAGCCCACACCAGCTGCCGTGGGAAGAAGAAGGAGAAAGGAGGAAAGTGTTTATAGGCGTTTCAAAACAAGAACTCCCTGTCGCTACACCTGTAATCCTTTCGTTTCTGACTGGTCATCACGGGATTTACCAATATCGGACTCAGCTCACCCAAATCTACACCCAACGCTGCAACATGCAGGTGTGAGCATAGAAGAACAGGTTCGACCTGGATCCAACAGGTGACTCGTCCTTAACAGGTATCTAGTCTTAATCTTCTCTAGGCTGAGCTTAAGCTAGTAGAGATCGAATAGGTAAGAATTTGTTTATTCAAACCTGAGCGTACGCGCGTTTCGGCCGGTGGCCTTCATCAGCGCTCTCAGAGTTACATGAAAAAACTACCCCTTATCTACTCTCTATCTACCGTGCCCAGCACTCAACCCAGCATGCAGGTGTGAGCATCCTGACAGCTGCATCCATACCTGTGCCTGGCCCCACACACATTCCACCCACGAAACCCATACCTGCGACCAGGGCTGATCTGGGGGAGGCAGAGCTGAGCAGGTGTCATTTGCAACAGCAGCAATGATGGCGGGGAGGTGGGCGTGCACGCCCTCCCCGCCTTCCACTGCCACCGACTCCAGCAGGTCTAGAGCCCTCACCGCCTCCCTCTCCTCTCCATCCCTTGCATTCGCTCACTTACACTCATACAGGGAAGAAAATGCTACCGACCCTGCGGCTACCGATACTGGGTTCACCCAATCCTTTTCATACAGCACAGCCCGTACCTGCGACCAGGGCTGATCCGGGGGAGGCAGAGCAGCACAGGTGTCATTTGCAACAGCAGCAATGATGGCGGGCAGGTGGGCGTGCACGCCCTCGCCCCCCTCCACTGCCACTGACTCCAGCAGGTCTAGAGCCCTCACCGCCTCCCTCTCCTCCCCCGCCCGCGTTGCCGCCACCACTGCCTGCAGGAACGCCAGCCAATCAGACGGCTCCACGTCATTCTGGATGGGAGAGGGAAAAAGGGATATGCGAGGAAGGGGAGCGAGGAAAATTGTGGTTTGTTTCACGGCATGTTATAAGGAATAGAATGCATGATAACATGCAGACAGAGGACAGAGGCACACAGGAGATGATTAGTGCTCTGCCCGTGCCCGTATCATTAGAGTCAAACCCTTCGCTCCACTTAAGAGTTTCAAGACACGGTCTTCACACCAATAGTCAAGCATGAGGTGCTGACTCGATAGTCAAGCACACCAATCGAGGATGGAGTGGGCTGATAGGAACAAGTGGAGAGAAGAAAAAACGTGCACAATAAGAAGAAACTACTGAAACGGAAAAGAAGAAGCGGCAACCTGGATGAGGTAAGAGACAACAGACATGCGTGTTGGTCTGGTCCCTTTTGAATGGATCCAAAAGCATTGGCAGCAATTAAGTATGGCCGAGTGCACCACGTGCAACAAGAGCGGCAAGCACCGCAAGAGCAGCGAGACCTGAGAGAGAGAAGCAAGAGTACCTAGATGAGTTAGGAGATGCAGTGCGATGCAGCAGTGCATCGCACACATGTGGCGCAGTGCGCACAGCAACCCATGTGTGCGGCCGTGTGAACCTCGTGCAGAGCATCCACTGCACCTCGTGCCCCATGCACCACATGCATCACATGCACCAATGCACCACATGAACCACATGCAGACCTGGATGAGGTAGGAGATGCAGTGCGAGGCAGCAGTGCGCACAGCCGCCCATGACTGCCCGCATGTGACCCATGTGCCGTGCATTCAGTGCACCATTTGCAGAGCAACACAAGCAGCGAGAGCAGCGAGCAGACCTGGATGAGGTAGGAGATGCAGTGCGAGGCAGCAGTGCGCACCGCCGCCCATGACTGCCCATCCACGTCCCCCGCTGCCATGGCCTTCATGCTCGCCTCGTACACAAGGCTGTGCAGGGACTGGTGGGGCGGTTGAATGAGGGAGTGGGGGCAAGGAGAGGAAGGAGTGAGGATAATGAGATAAGGAGTGAAACGTGGACGGAATTCAGAGAAACGAACTGGTTTGGGCGACTCTGAAGGTGACTCTTGTGAATGCTTAACCAAACCACTTTTTGGGCGGCCAGTTGCACTGCACAACAGCCCCAGTCAACAGATCCATCACACTGGAAATGGCTGCACAGCAAGCAAGCTGTCAGTAGCAAGCATTCATTTGTTTGAGGCGCCTAAGACGACTTTTTAGGCGCCTAATCAACGTTGCACAACAGCCTCAGGCAACAGATCCATCACACTGGAAATGGCTGCACGGCAAGCTGTCAGCGGCACAGCATTCAGCATGATGGCTGGCTAGACTGCACTGCTTTCTGAGGCGCCTCAAACGTCTTATTAAGCCGCTAGTTGTACAACGGCCCCATCATCACAACCGGCCTCACATAAGTAGCGGACTGGAGGCAATGGAGAGCTAGACTATCCATTCACTGGAGACTATCACTGCATGCTGCACTGCACACTGTGCACAGTGCACCGTGAACAAGGTTCGAGTTGCTTTTGAGAATTTCCAAACGTGCACACGGGAATTCTCAAAAGTGCACACTGCACAGTTGTCAGTCAGTTGCTGGTCACCTCGGGCAGGGCGGTGGAGAGCTCTCCCAGCAGCCACGTGGCAGAGGCCAATAGGACCGCGCTGACGTGGCGCTGCGAGAAGAGGGGCAGCACGTGAGCTGGCAGCAGCTGCTCCAGGTGGGCTGGCTGACGCTCGAAGTACTGCGTTGGTGTAGAGGGGGAGGAAAAGAAGGGGGAGGGAGGATGGGTGAGGTTAATTTGGGGCAACAGGAAACAGAACAGCAGGAGATGGCAGTTGCTCCAGGTGGGCTGGCTGGCGCTCGAAGTACTGGGGAGGCGTAGAGGGAGGGGGGAGGGGAGGAGAGGGGGTTGGGTTGGCAGACAGGAAGCAGAGGAAGGACGCAGAGGGATAGGCAGCAGCTGCTCCAGGTGGGCTGGCTGGCGCTCGAAGTACTGCGGGGGTGTGGAGAAGCGGGAGGTGGGGAAGAGGGGGTGGGAGAGGTTAATTTGGATAATAAGAAACAGAGGAGTAAGCCAGCTTCTGCAGCTGGGCTGGCTGGTGCTCGAAGTACTGCGATATTGAAGAGTGTGAGGGGGTTGGGGTGGGTGTGCGGGGGGGAGGGTAGGGAGCATTGGGAGATTCGGAAACGGAAGTGAAAAGGCCAGAGAGGAAGCATATGATGAGCCACAGCGACAACGGTCATGTAGGGAGGGCAATTAGAGCAGGGATCAGCAGAGGGAAACGGTTGGAAAGGGAGGGGAGTTGATTCGGAGGCAAATGAGGGGTACTACGCTGGTGTACAACAGGGTGACATGTGGTAGACTTGAGGAACTGTGCTGGTGGTGGTGGTGATGTTTGTCCATCTATTCTGATGTTTGTGATAGAAAGGACAGCATCCCATCACAGATTAGATAGGTAAACAACACACTTACTGTCCGCTCCCATGTAGGGGCGTACCTCTTTCTTTCATGGCAGCATAGGCCTGCAAAACACCAAAGTAGCCATTATGTCACTATGTACTCAACTCAAGCACCCATGTACCCATGTATGATGGTACGTACGCGCTCACTCTACCCGTGTGGGATCGTACCTCTTTCATGGCTGCATACGCCTGCAGAACGCCGAAGTAGCTGTTATGGGCGATGGGGTTGGGTGAGTGAGAGGAGCGCAGCAGAGGTGCATGGAGATGGAGGGGGCACGGGAAGGGGAGCCAGGGTGGGGGGGATACGGAAAACGAGAAGGAGAGGAATGAGTGTGGATGGGAAGGCAGTGGAAGGGGGAGAGGGGGGAGATGAGGGAAAAGGGGGGAGCATGTGGGGGAGGGGGGAGTGTGGGGAGAGAGGGCACACAACAGAAGCAGTAAACAGCAACGGTACAGCAGCAGACAAGGTGATGAAAGGAGGGAGGAATGAGGGGCGGACGGAGGGAGGAAAGGAAAGAGGGAAAGAAAGAGAGTAGGGAGAAAGGACGGGGGGAGGGTCGGAGGGACGGATAGGGGAAAGGGAGGGAGCGAAGGAAGGCGGGAAGGAGGAAAGGAAGGAGAGACGGAGGGAGGGAAGATCAGAGGGAAAAATTGAGGGATAGGAGGGAGGGAGGGAGGGAGGGAGGGAGGGAGGGAGGGAGGGAGGGAGGGAGGGAGGGAACGAGGGAAACAAGTTCGAGACTCACTGGACAACAGCAGCACTGGCAGCGTTGGCAGGAGCCTGGCCGCCCCCTGCCCCCGCCACAAACATGCCGTCCATTGGGACAGCAGCATCCGCGGGGAGAGGAAACCTGGAAAGGACAGGGCGGGGCAGAGAGCACGCTCCTGAGGCGCTCCTACAGCAGCAGTGCTCCACTGGCGGCAGCAGCAGGAGTGTAACCGCCCCCTAGGCATGCCTACCGCCCTCTGTCCCCCCTCGTCACAAACACACCATCCATTGGCATCGGAGCAACAGAGCAACCAGAGTTCCACTCCTGTTCCCCTCCTGCCCGCTGCCTCAGCCTCTTGCAACAGAGAAACCAGCAGCAGTGCTCCACTGGCGGCAGCAGCAGGAGTGTAACCGCCCCCTGTCTGTCCCCCCCCGCCACAAACATGCCATCCATTGGCATCGTATGATTAGAGTGCCACTCCTATTCCTCTCCTGCCCGCTGCCTCAGCCTCTTGCAACAGAGCAACCATACGTATGCACGCACACACACACTCATACCCACACATGCACACGCGCACGCACACCAACACATGCACGCACGCACACACGTACCTGGAGAAGAACGGAAGAACCACTGTAGCTGCTGCTGCGTCAGTGTCCTTGGTGGCGGCCGGCCTTCGTTGTCTCCTTCTGCCCGCTGCTGGTGACGTGGACTTGGATGGTGCTGCTGCTGTTGATGCGCCTGGCTTGCCCTTGGCTGGGCTTCCCTGCATTGTGCAAAATGGAGGGGGGAGGAAGTGCGGTGCGGGGCGAGTTGAGTTTGAGGAGGGTCGTCTCTGACTCGTCCTGCCTGCTGCTGGTGCAGTTGTAAGCGAGGAACAAGGAACAAAGAAGGCTTGACACGCAGGAAGGAACGAGTGTGCGGGTGGGTGAGTGGGTTCGTGTGCGAATCTTAGTGCGTGTGTGTGTGCTCATATGGTGCGCGCATGCACGCGACTTGATCGTATACATGGATACCTATACGCATACCCATGCCCCACTGCTCCACATACTACCTTGGAGGTGGCAATGAGCGCCAGCCGGAAAACACACTGCTGCGGGTCATGTATTATGTATGACGGATGCATGGATTTATGTACGTACCTAACAGCAGCTTGGTGATGGTACACACCACCCCACTGCACCACACTCTACCTTGGAGGTAGCTATGAGAGCCAGCAGGTGAGCAGCACATTGCCGCGGGTCATAACTCTCGATCTCATCCATGTCGTCCTGGCCACAGAAAGGTCAAACGGGAGGGGGGAGGAGAAGGGATAGAAGTGTCTCGTTTTGAGGTGCCTCATAAGCACACTGCCGCGGGTCATAACTCCCAATCTCATCCATGTCATCCTGGCCACAGAAAGGTCACAAACAAATGGGGAGGGGGGAAGAGAGGTATCAGTTCCTGAGGTGCCTTAAAAAAAGACTGCCGTGGGTCATAGCTCTCAATCTAAACCATGTCATCCTGGCCACACGAAACCAGAAAGGGGAGAAGGGGGATGGAATGAGAGCGTAATTCAAGGAGAGTGATGGGAAGATGGAGTATGATGCTGCTGCTGTTACTGATGGTAGGTAGGTACCTATCACAAAAAAACACCACCACTCACTAAATCTGTGGGAAGATTCCGTCGTACGTACTCCTCCTCATCCTCATCCCACAGCTCCAAATCCTGCCGCCCAAAAAGCACAGGAAACACGTTTTGTGATTGCGAGTTCCTCGACAAGTAAGAGCAAAGACTGGAATAAAAAAAAGACGAGTTGGGGACCCCTTCCCCATAGATGGCATGGCAGTAGTCCAAGACTATGGGTCTGAGTGACATGATGCGGCATGATTCGACTCGAAATACACGCGAGGACCCCCATACATGGAACATCCAGGCAGCAGTTTGATTTGAGACCATGGAGTGAGTAATTGACGACAGTTTTGCAAGAACATAATCAGTGCAGTCAGCGTACTGTAACTTCACCGCAACAGAATAAGGGGGTGGGGGCTTTTTTAGGCGCCTCAAAAATCTTGCAACAAGAACATAATCAGTGCAGTCAGCGTACTGTAACTTCACCGCAACAGAATAAGGGGGTGGGGACTCTCACGCACGTTTGGGCAGAGCATGGAAGTAATCTCAGATAAAGGGGGGTGGAGAGGGGTGGAGAGGGGTGGAGAGGGGTGGAGAGGGGTGGAGAGGGGTGGATAGGGGGGGAGAGCGCTCACGTGGGGGTGCAGGCAGAGTGCGGGGAAAATGGCAGCCTCTAGGAGATGCGCGAATTGAGGAGCCACCACCTTCCATCCCTGCACGCAATGGGGCAAGATTGAAGGGGGCGTGGGGCATGGATGCGGGAATTGGGGATGGGGTAGTTTTGGGGAAGATGGCCGCCTCTAGCAGCTGGGCGAACTGCGGAGGGGACATTTGGACGTGGGGCGTGGGGCATGCGGCGTGGGGCGTGGGGCGTGGGGAGATGAGGGCGTGGGGAGATGGGGGTGTGTGGAGACGTTTAATTGACACTAACAGATCTCACTCTAGAGAGAAATCCGTGCCTTGGGTGAAAGAGTGAGACAACGAAAGGCATGTCTTGGGTCGGTCGGTGTGGCATTGTTGTTAGAGAGTGGCTTTAAGATTTGTGTTTTGAGTCGACTCAAAACACCACTCTAGAGAGAAATCCGTGCCCTTGGGTGAAAGAGTGAGACAATGAAAGGCATGTCTTGGGTCGGTCGGTGGGGCATTGTAAGGAAGCGACTTAAAAATCGACCCTAAAATGCTCACCGGAGCAGAGTCGAGAACTTGAGCTGTGGCTGTAAACGCCACTGCGATGACGCGACGGGCTGCTGATGGGAGCTGGAATGAATGGGGCGTTGACAAGAAGGGTGTAAAATCTATCTTGAGAAACCTCATAGGGTGAGGGTTAGGCAGAGAGAAAAGAGTTGCAGCACTGCTTAACATCATCATCACAAGGTGACTTTTGAGTCGACTCAAAAGTAACATCGTCATCACATCACCAACCAACAGCACTGCTGAAAGAAGGAAGGGCGGCACACAACACCAACGTGGCACAGCAGGCATTCCTATCCACGTGTCCGCACCTGACTGGTCCACAGCGAGTTGCAGACGATGCCAGTGATGCCATCCACCATGGCAGGAAAGTGCCTGGAAGGCGCACAATAAGGGACAGACAGAGCGAGGAAGGGGAAGATGGAGAGGGAATGCAGAGCAGAGAAGAAGGTAACCGAGCGGAGACATCATTTGTAATGTATTCAAGCAGAGAGGGAATGCAAACAAACATGCTTGCATTCTATTCTATGTGCAAGGCGTTACCCACTGGCACTAGAATCACCGGCACTCACTTGTTGGTCAGCTTCTGGTGTCGGAGCATGGCAGATCTGCAGCGCTCGCTTGCACCCCTTCAGCCACACATCCCCTCCCACCCCACTAGCACCCTTGCCTCTGTGAGACGAGACACGAGTTACCAAGTAACACTCCAAGCAGAGAGCCACTCACTTGTTGGCCAGCTTCTGGTGCCGGCTGGCCAGTGACTGGCAGATCTGCAGCGCTCGCTTGCACCCCTTCAGCCGCACCTCCCACACTGCTGCTGCCGCCCCTCCCTCTTCCCCTCCTCCCCCATCCATCACTTCCCCCTCCTCCTGCCCTGCGGCCGCTGCTGCTGCGGCGAGGGTGGGCGGGCAGTGTGAGAGCAGCAGCAGCAGCTCTGGGACGATGCTGTCAACGTGCTTACGGATGGCCGATGGCATGTGGCTCTGAACCTGTGTTAGGGGTGGGGGGAAGGACAGGAGTTCTTAAATGCCTCAGAGGGTGGGCGGGCAGTGTGAGAGCAGCAGCAGCAGCTCTGGGACGATGCTGTCAACGTGCTTACGGATGGCCGATGGCATGTGGCTCTGAACCTGTGTTAGGGGTGGGGGGAAGGACAGGAGTTCTTAAATGCCTCAGAGGGTGGGCGGGCAGTGTGAGAGCAGCAGCAACAGCTCTGGGACGATGCTGTCCAGGTGCTTGCGGATGGCCGACGGCATGTGGCTCTGAACCTGTGTTAGGGGTGGGGTGGGGGGAAGGACAGGAGTTTTGAAACGTCTCAGAGGGTGGGCGGGCAGTTCGAGAGCAGCAGCAGCAGCAGCAGCAGCTCTGGAACGATGCTGTCAAGGTGCTTGCGGATGGCCGATGGCATGTGGCTCTGAACCTGTGGGGGGGAAAAAAGATTAAGGGGAGAAGTAAGTGTGAAAGCAGCAGCAGCAGCAGCAGCAGCAGCAGCAGCAGTAGCTATGGGACGATGCTGTCGATGTGCTTGCAAATGTGGCTCTGAACCTGTGGGAGTGAGTTAAGACGGGGGAGGGGGTTGGAGTTGGAGGAGAAGAGGAAGGAAGATGGACGGCGGTGGATGGGCAAACGGGAGGGGAAAGTGGGGGATTGAGAACCGTGGCCTGAGACGAGTTTTGAGACGTCTTGGCAAGGTCGTGAACTTATCTTAAAACTTGGAAGGGGAAAGTGGGGGATAGTGAACTGTGGCCTGGGATGTCTCAGCAAGTACGTGCGATATGCAATCATATCGCACATTGCATAGCCTGGGACTTATCTACGTGAGGTGGGGGTGTTTTTGAGACGTCTCAAAAACACCCTCACCTCACATAGCCTGGGACTTATCTTTCTGGGACATGCAGCAATGTGCGATCTGTTATGTGGGACGTGTGATGTGCTTCATGGATCGTGCTATGTGATATGAGTTATGTGAGGAGGCGTGCTAAGTTTTGTGGAACAGGTCAAATGGTAGCCAGACTGGGGAACTGTTGCTGGCCCAACATGGCTGCAAGATATCTCAGTGGGAAGAGGAGCTTATCTGACCTATGATGAGAAAGACGCTCAGGCGTCTTAGCGTCCCGCGTCCGGGCGGCTGGTTGGGCGTCCAGCGTTCAGACGCTAGCGTCCTTCTCATCATAGTATCTGACTGACCTACAGAGGCGACTCAACAGCTCCTCCAACAAGTGAGGTCAGTTACACTCCAAGGCTTTCGCGTTGATACAGCGAAAGGCGACTTGAGGAGAATGGAGGTGCATGCAGGCAGGCCGGCGCACTGACAGAAAGATGCACTCACAGAGAGGTGGAGCGTCTTGAGAATGAGCAGAAGGGCTTCATCATGTGCTTGGGGGCTTGACTGCTGCGCCTGGAGGCACCACGGTGCGAGGAAGGGAGGGGCATGCAGGCGATACAGGGAGTGGAGGGGCATGAAGGAGAGGAGGGGCATGAAGACAGGGGGGGCATGAGGATGGGAGGGCGTGACGATGTTCAAGTGGCGCATGAGTGGCATGGTATGAGGCAGCAGCATGTGTCGAGGTAACAGAGATGCTTCCATCACTATCATACCAATGCCATGCCATGCCATGCCATGCCATGCCATGCCATGCCATGCCCTTCCATGCCTTATGCCCATCGCACACACCACCCATCAAGCAGTAACACCTGGGCCGCAATGAGGTGGTGCACGAGCGGCAGCAGGTATGACCTAAACAGTGCCATGCCATGCTGTGCTATGCACTGCACTGTCCCATGAACATGAACGGGCACATCACCTGTGCAGCAGTAACACCTGGGCTGCAATGAGGTGGTGCAGGAGCGGCACGAGCGGCAACAGCAGGTCTGACTGACGTCAACAGTGTCATGCCATGCCGTGCCGTGCCATGTCATGCCATGCCGTGCCATGCACATCACCCATCAAGCAGTCACACACACCTGAGCCGCAATGAGGTGGTGCATGAGTGGCATGAGTGGCAGCAGCAGGTCCGATGCAATGGCTTCTAGCACTATCATGCCATGCCATGCTCTCGCCACGCCATGCCATGCCATGCCATGCCATGCCATGCCATGCCATGCCATGCCATGCAAACAGTCACACCCACCTGAGCTGCAATGAGGTGGTGCATGAGCGGCATGAGGGGCAGCAACAGGTCCGATGCAATGGCTTCTAGCACTGGTGGCACCGGCTCCTTGTCGTTGGTAGGGTCGAGGAAATACTGTGGAGAGGGGGAGGGGGGGAGGAGAAAGAGGGGAACATGAGTGGCCATTGCTTCCAGCACTGGTGGTACCGGCTCCTTGTCGTTAGAAGGGTCGAGGAAATACTGTTGTGAGGGGGAGGGGGGACGAGGAATTAACAGAGGAGAAGATGAGCGGCAGCAGCAGCAGGTCTGATGCAATGGCTTCTAGGACTAAGCTTGTATCACTTCTTTGAACTCTCAAAAGTGGTACAACCATTCTCACCTGAGAAAGACATACCCGGTACGGCTTGGTGACAGCACGGAGGACTTTTGAGGCGCCTCAAAAGGGCTCTCTCAAAAGTGGTACAACCATAATCACCTGAGAAGGACATACCCGGTACGGTTTGGTGACGTAGTTTTGAGACGTCTCAAAACTCTCTCAAAAGTGGTACAACCATAATCACCTGAGAAGGACATACCCGGTACGGTTTGGTGACGGCGCGGAGGACTGTAAGCACAGTGACTGTAGAGAATGAGTTTTGAAGCACCTCAAAGGATATCACAGCATACCCGGTATGGTTTGGTGACAGCACGAAGGACTGTAAGCACAGTGACTGTAGAGAACGGCTTTTAAAGTGCATTAAAAAATATCACGGCATACCCGGTATGGCTTGGTGACAGCGCGGAGGACTGTAAGCACAGTGACTGTAGAGAATGCTGCTGCTGCGGAGGCAGGATCCGACGGCCCAGGAGCAGCTGCGGAGGCGGAACCAACGGCTCGGATAAGATCGCTGGAGAGCAGAGCGGCTTTGAGCCCCGGGAGGAGCTGGGGCCAGCCGGAGGGGGACGCCAACTCGGTGCGAACAATGGCAGAGAACTGATGGAAAACAGGGGAGGAGAAGGGAGGGTGGAGTGGGAAGGGAGGGGAGCCTTGAGGCTACTCAGGATTGGTGGAGGAGAGCGGAGGGGGGGAGAGGGAGGGCGAGGAGAGGAGCGCTGCTTTGAGGCTCGGGAGAAGCTGGGGCCAACCGGAGGGGGAAGCCAACTCGGTGCGGACAATGGCAGAGAACTGATGGAAAACAGGGGAGGAGAAGGGAGGGTGGAGTGGGGAGGGAGGGGAGCCTTGAGGCTACTTAGGATTGGTGGAGGAGAGGGGAGGGGGGGAGAGGGAGGGCGAGGAGAGGAGCGCTGCTTTGAGGCTCGGGAGAAGCTGGGGCCAACCGGAGGGGGAAGCCAACTCGGTGCGGACAATGGCAGAGAACTGATGGAAAACAGGGGAGGAGAAGGGAGGGTGGAGTGGGGAGGGAGGGGAGCCTTGAGGCTACTTAGGATTGGTGGAGGAGAGGGGAGGGGGGGAGAGGGAGGGCGGGGAGAGAAGTGCTGCTTTGAGGCCTATTCGGGGCTGGGGCCGGCCGGAGGGGGAAGCCAATTCGGTGCGAACGATGGCAGAGAACTTATGGGGATGGTGGGAGGGGTGAAAAACAGGCCTCTAGAAAAAACGCTGCAAGAATGGAACACATGTTTGTTCCATCTACAGTCACATACCGCTTCAATAAGCACGCTCAGAATTTCCCCTGTCCTCACCGCAATAACACCCCCACAAGTTGCACCAGCACCGCCTCCTGCTCCCTGTGGCTGGTAGAGTGACTCGTATCCCCTCTGGGATTACCTACAGGCAGATTCCCTCTCCTAGAAGCACATAGCGCTTAGATAAGAACGCCCAAAATCTTCCCCTGCAAGCAGCGCATCGCAGCAGCGCCTCCACCAGTTGCACCCGCACCGCCTCCTGCTCCTCCCTGAAAAGTCACTCACATTGCCCCTGAATCTACCTACACTGCTACAGGCACATCCCCTCCTTTACAGTCACATACCGCTTCGATAAGCACACTCAGAAATCTTCCCCTGCCCAGACCGCAGTAGCACCTCCACCAGTTGCACCCGCACTGCCTCCTGCTCCCTGTGGCTGGTAAAGTTACTCATGTCCCCTCTGAATATACCTACAGGCAGATTGCCTCCCCTAGAATCACATACCGCTTCAATAAGAACGCTCAAGATCTTCCCCTGTCCAGACCGCAGTAGCACCTCCACCAGTTGCACCCGCACCGCCTCCTGCTCCTCCTTCCCCCCCGGCAGCTGCACCCGCCCCTTGCTGCCTGCCCCCCTCCACTTCGCCACCGCCACGTTCTTGAAATAGAGCGCGGCTGGAAGAGCTGCTGGGGAGTTGGGGACTGGCGGAAGGGGGGCGGAAGGGGGGGGGAAGGGAAGAGGGGAGGGATGGGGGATAGGGAAGTTGGGGTTTGCTGCCTGCCCCCCTCCACTTCGCCACCGCCACGTTCTTGAAGTAGAGCGCTGCTGGGAGAGCTGCTGGGGAGTTGGGGACTGGAGGGGGAGAGAGGAGGGGGGGAAGGTGGGGGGGGTTAGGACGGGGTAAGCTTTATTGTTGTTGAAGCCACCCCGCCAACCGCCACGTTGTTGAAGTAGAGGGTTGCGGGGAGGGCTGCGGTGGAACTGGGCACTGGAGGGGAGAACGGGGGCAGGGGGGGAAGGGGGGAGAGTGTGGGCAGCTGCACCCGCCCCTTGCTGTCCTCCCCCCGCCACCTCGCGACCTCCACGTTCTTAAAGTGCGTGGCTGTTGGGAGGGGTGCTGGGGAGTTGGGCACTGGGGAAGAGGGGAAAGATGGGGCCGGGGGGAGGGGAATATGGGGGGGTTTGACGGAGGATGTAAACACGCCACCGCCATGGTGAGAGGCGCGGGGGATCCGGGGACTGGCGGAGAGGCGAAGGGGAAGGACGGTAGAATTTGGGTACCGTAGCGGGTGTTGAGTCCAATTGCCGAGTGCCACCCGCAATGCGATTGCGCGGGGAATGTACGGTCGAGATCTCATTGGCACGGCTGAGATCCCATCGTACGGCCCAGATCAGCTCGAAAGGGGAAGAAAGGGCACGTCTTCCCGCGCGAGGTGGCAACCGCACGGCGAGAATCGGAATGAGAATGGGGGAGAGGAGGAGAAGGGGACGACGAGGACGAGAACGATTCGAACGAATCTCAACCTATTCCGAAAATGCGGGAGAGCGAAGCTCGTCTCCAGAATCCTAAGCGAGATAGACGGCGAATTCGCGAGGTGCGCGAAGGGAGCGATCCGGGGGAAAGAAGAGTGGGGGAAGGGCGGCGGCAAACGTTGAGCACCTGCTGCGACAGACAACACGTGGCCCAGGAATCCCGGGTGCTTGGAAGCTTCCTCGAGCGCTGAGCTGGCGGATCGCACGGCCGCCTCGTCCGCGCTCGTCGTCTGCAGCAGCCACGCGCACACCGCGTCCGCGCTCACCGCCGCCATGCCGCCCGTTATAGTCACGCGGGAGGGTATAGATACGATTATTTTCGAGGATACGTGGGTTGCAAAGAATAGTGACGTGCTGTGCTGAGTGCTGCCAAATCTGGTATGGAGGTCATTCCGAAATCAGGATTCGGGAAAGGGTTGAGGGTATGGGTTTGTGGTTGTGTGCGAACAGGCAGGGGATGATTGGTTTCGATCTGAACTCGATACGACGTTCTCGGTTTTAGGATAGTTTTTTGAAGGGTCAGGAATGCGATGCATTATCCATTGAGTGTATGCGTTTTAAAGCTGCGGTCTACATTCATCGAGGTATTTTCCGGGGTTATTTAGGATGCACACCCAATGACGCACTCTGATTTGCTTACGAAAGACCTGCTTCCAATATCAGTAGGTGCGAGGGAGTCAAACAGAACTGGCGAAATCCGCCAGTTTCGTGTTTTGGTTCGGTTGGGAAACAACCCTCGGCGACTTCGCGATAATTTCGTGAGGTTGGGTTGGGGAGGGGATTGGCGAAATTAATTAGCCAATCATGAGCAGGGAAATTACAGGCGGGGGTTGTGGTGTCACAAACTCGGAAACACACCTCGCCACTGAAGCGGAAGGTTACCTGGTTTTCAAGTGATAAACCAAAGCCTCTTCCGCCAGGTATGTAGACGACAGCTTTAAATTCTCCCTTCATCTTAGCTTGAACATCTGAATTGACACATAAGCCACCTCCGATTATTTGCATCTGTGACTCAAAATCTTTCCCAGGTGAAACTTGTGTGGTGGTCATTCTCCTCGAAAACCGCATTCAGAGGGGTGGCAATGCAAGGGACCCCTCCGTTGTTCCCTACACCATTTACAGCCTTATACCCTGAACCGCATCACCTCTTCTTCGGTTTCTTCTTGAACACGTGTGTCTGCACCTTCTCCATGTAGAGAGCCAGAGACCCCCTCAGCTTCCTAAACTCTACAAAGCCCTAACCCCTAAACAGCATCTCTACACACAAGCAGCCACACCATCACCTCTTCTTGGGTTTCTTCTTGAACACGGGCGTCTGCACCTTCTCCATGTACAGCGCCAGCTCCAACGGCATCCACTCCTCCAGCCCAATCTCCTACCTTGTATCCTTCAAAGCCCTACACACAAGGACGCACACTATCATCGCTTCTTGGGTTTCTTCTTGAACACGGGCGTCTGCACCTTCTCCATGTACAGCGCCAGCTCCAGCGGCATCCACTCGTTCAGCCCGATCTCCTCCCGCGTGTCCTTCTCCCTCTCCCTCTCCCTAAACCGGCCCCGACTGAATCTCCTCCCCTCAAACTTGCCCACTTCCTCAAACCCCTCGTGCCCCTCTTGCCCCTCTTGCCCTTCTTGTGCCTCTTGCCGTTCATCATTACCCTCCACTCTGAACCTTTCCTGCCCTTGCGGGTCCAACATGGCTTCATCTCCTGGGCTGAAGCGGCGCCTCACGCTCTCCCCTCCCTCCCTTTCATGCTCTGCCTCTTCCCATTCTTCCCCCTCCTCATCCTCATCCTCCCCGTCGTCCCAATTCTCTTCACCCTCCTCCTCTTCCTCTTCCTCCTCCTCCCCCTCTTCATCCTCCTCATCCTCGTCCTCCTCTTCCTCCTCCTCATCTCTTTCCCCCTCTTCCTGACCATCGGAACCCCAAGCATCATCAGACCACACCTCTCCTCCTTCTTTCCCCTGCACTTCCCTCAATCCCCCCTTTTTGTGATCCATACCCATTCCTCCATCTCCCACCGTCCCTTCCCCTTCCTCATCCTCCTCCCACGCACCATCCCTCACCCTCTCACCACTCACTCCCAACACACCATCCCCATCCAGACCACCACCACCGCCCGCACCATTTCCCCCGACCCTCATCCTCACGCCCGGCCGAAGCTCGTCCCTCAGGCTCGGCAGCACATGCGCCTCCATGAACTTCCACAGCCTCGTCGCCGTGGCTCCGCCGAACCGAATCAGGTTCGGCGCATCCCACGGACTCTCCAACGCAACCCTCCCCATCTGCGCTTTCCACCTCAACCTATCCATCAATCCTCCACCCTCCTCCTCCTCCCCCTCCACACTCCTCACCGCCTTCCTTGTCCTCTTCCCCGCCTTCCTCCCTCCTTTCTCCAACACCCGCTGCCCCGGCCGTCTATACCTCATCTTCACGCTACAATCCCGCACCGACACGCATAACGCCCTCGCAATTCTCCTCAAATCCCGGCTCGAGTACTGCTTGGCATGCAGAATCATCCCCCCAGTCTCCTCACACCGCCGCCCACTGTACATGTACCAGTGAGCGAGCGTCTTAGGGGTGAGCCAGCGCTGAATGAGCTTCGGAATGACCCGGGGGCCCTGCGGGTGGTAGCGCTGCGCGTGGTAGCGCAGGGCTGTGTGGGGGATGGTGGCGAAGTGACGCACACGGATGGGACGCACCCCCGCCGCTGCTAGGAGGTCGGCTGGTGGGGCAGCGGAGGAAGAGGAGGAGGCATCAGCGGCGTTAGCGGCGGCGGCGGCGGCTGCAGCAGCATCGGGGGGAGCATCCGGGGCGGGCGGCATGAGCAGCAGCATGTTTCTGGGCGGCGAACTGGCCCACGAGCCAAACGCCCTGTACAACCCCTCCAGCAGATCTACGCGGCCAGGATTGTCCAGCGGCTGCTCGAAATGAATCTCGTACGTCCGTTCGTTGTCCTGGGCCGCGATCCGCGCTCCACCCAGCAGCACCCCTGCCAACACCTGCCGCTGCTCCTTACTCAGCTTCATGCTCCGCGTCTCGTCCCTCTCTACTCTCAACTTCCCAAACACTGCTTCGGCCGCTTCCCTTGCTGCTCCTTCCAGCACCATCCCCGGTTTCCGGCCCCGGTCCTTCCGGTTCCCAACCATGTCCAGATACAGCGAACGTACCGTTCGAGTGTCCCCTGCTGCGCCGCATGCAGCTATGATGAGGTTATAGGAGTGGGCGTCAACGCCTATCTCCTGGTTGGAGTTCATTTCAAGGAATATTTTTTTCGCCATGCCCACGTTGCCGGCCTTGGTGTGCGCTGCCAGGCGCAGGTGGTAGGATGTGCGGTCGGGGAGGCACCCTATCTGTGGGGGGGTGGGAAGAACGAGAGTCGGGAAAAGTGAAAGAGGCGGGAACAGGAGAAATTAAGAAAGGCGGAGAGACACGGAGAAGCAATGATGACAAACCCGATTTCCTTAGTCATGCCCAGGCTAGGCTCCCCAGAATCATGACACCTGATGGTCTTCATGTGTGCTGTGCTGTGAGGAACAGAACACATGGCAGGAGCTTTTGAGTCGACTCAAAAGCAGACACATGAGTGTTGATGGCCTTGATGTGTGCTGTGAGGAAGAGGTGGCAGGAGGTGCAGTCTGGAGGGCACCCCACGTGCGGGATGGTGGGAAGAACGAGAAATAGGAACAAGAAAAATCAGCACAATGGAAGAGCGGGGCACGAAGGGAGAGAGACGTAGCAGCAGTGGCAAACGATAGCGACAAGGATTTGCAACAGAGTGGATGCGGCTCTCGTGGTCGTTCAGGTGCCACTGGCGAAGGTACATCTGCAGCAGCATGTTTCCTTCACCGTTCTCAAAAGCAGTCTTGGAACCAGGCAGACAGGAAACTACCTCCTTTCAAGCGCATGAATGGTGGAGGTACAGCTGCAGCAGCGCATTCACCGCAGCAACAGAGTAACCGGACCGGATAGACCAACCCAGGACGCACCTCTTTCATGCCTTGGAACCGCCTCTCGAGGTCGTTGAGGCGTGACTGGTGGAGGTACATGTGCAGCAGCGCGTTCACAGCAGCAGCAGCAGAGTGAATGGCAGGACCAACTCAGAACAGAACCCACCCACCTCTTTCATGCCTTGGAAGCGTCTCTCGAGGTCATTCAGGCGCGACTGGTGGAGGTACATGTGCAGCAGCGCGTTCACAGCAGCAGTGAGCGGCCCTCTCTCCGCCCGCAGCATGACCCTAAAAAACCCCTCCGCCTCCTCGCCCCACCTCTCCGCCTCCCTTCTGCGCCCACCTGCCCCGCTCGCCACCGCTGCTCCTGCCAGCGCTGTGAGGTACGCGTTGCACGCTCGCAACCCAGGAAGATTCGCCTCCCCGACTGGTGCTGCTGCTTCCCTGCTTCCCATCCGCGTGCCCCGCGCTGCACGCTCCCACTCGCCCACCCTCCCTCCGCCCTCCTCCCCGCCCTCCTCCCCGCCCTCCGCCCACTCTCCCGCCCCTCTCTGCACCGCCATGACATGCGGCCATGCGGCAATGCTCGCCTCATACCGGCCTGCATGGTTCAGACTCTCCATATAAGCTGCCCACACCCTCTCCCCCACCTCATAACCCCCTCCTCCGCCCTCTCCGCCCTCTCCGCCCTCCTCCCTTGCCTCCTCCGCCTCTCTCTTTCCTCCTCGCTTCCCGTCTCCCTCCCCTCCTCGCACCCTCATCGCCTCTTGAAGTTCCTGTATAGCTGCACAAGCATGATCAGCCAGTGCTGCAGCAGGCAAATCCCCATCCTCCTCTCCCACCCCTGTACCTCCTCTGCTGTAACCCCTACCCCCTCCACCCATGTCTCTATGCGACCCCACCACTCCCCCTTTCTCCCTCCTCTTTTTGTTCCGATACACCGCCCGGGCGCATGCAAACACCACCGCTTCGACCGCCTGGGGCGGCACCGTTCGTCCCGACGCGGCCAGGTCGTCGCGCATCTGCTGTAACAGGGTTACCACCTTGCTGACGTGGCCCTCCCTGGCGTGATGCCGCACCAGAGAAGCGTACATTTGGAGCAGAGGGGCCGAGCTTCGCTGCTGATTCCTCTCCCTCGTTTCTCTCAGAAGCGCCTCTGCCTTGTGCATGTGGCGGCCTCGCCACTTGGGGCTGGAAAAGGCCTGCAGGAACGGTGGCAAGTGGTAGAAAGTGGTAAAATTTTATTGTTCCCTTCCCTCCTCTCCCTCATCTCTCTTAGGAGCGCCTCTGCCTTGTGCATGTGGCGGCCTCGCCACTTGGGGCTGGAGAATGCCTGCAGGAACGGTGGCAAGTGGTGGAAAGTGGTGGAAATGGTATGTAGGCACCTCCACTCCCTCGTTTCTCTCAGAAGCGCCTCTGCCTTGTGCATGTGGCGGCCTCGCCACTTGGGGCTGGAAAAGGCCTGGATGGAGGAAGGGGAGTGGAAGGCATTGGGGAGTTTTTGAGCTTTAGGGTATGCAAATAAGCTATGTACAGGAGGCAACGCGCACAGACAGGTCAGTTTAGTTGATGTGACTTTTGAGAATTCTCAAAAAGTCACACAGACAGGTCAGCGACTTTTGAGAATTCTCAGAAATTTGCCAGACCACACCGACCTCGAATATCTGGTGCTGCACGAGCGAGTGAGGGGTGCCCCTCCCCCCCTCCCCCTCCGCCTGCACCGTGCAGTGCACCTCCCACACACCTCGAACATTTGATTGACAAGCCAGTCGGGCATGCTGCCCCTGCCCCCCTCTCTCTCCCCCCTGTATGCATTGTCACCCACGCACCTCAAACATTTGATTGACAAGCCAGTCGGGTGTGCTGCCCCTGCCCCCCTCCCGCTCCCCCATGCCATACAGCTCCCACACGCGCTCCATCTCATCATGCCCCTGCCCCACTCACTCACCCACCCACGCACTGACCCACGCACCTCAAACATCTGATTGACAAGCCAGTCGGGCGTGCTGCCCCTGCCCCCCTCCCGCTCCGCCATGCCATACAGCTCCATCTCATCATGCGCCGACTTCAGCAGCGCCCCCATGCACGCCTGCACCTCCCACTCACTGTCAGCATTGGCACCCACTCACCCACCCACCCACGCACCTCGAACATCCGCTGCACAAGCCAGTCGGGAGTGCTGCCCCTGCCGCCCTCCCGCTCCCCCATGCCATGCAGCTCCCACACGCGCTCCATCTCATCATGCGCCGACTTCAACAGCGCGCCCATGCACGCCTGCACCACGCGTAGCGGCACAGCCGGCCCCACTGGTCCCACAGGCACCACCGACCCCACCGGGCCCACTGGCACTGCTGTGGGGTGGTGAGGTGCCGTTTCAGTCGAATCAGAGGACACAGGAGGCACGAGCGGCTGCGAAAAGGGACCACCAGTGCCCTGAGTGTCTGGCGGTGTGTGGGGGTGGTAGGAGAGGCAGTGGTCGAGCAGGGCGAGCATGGGTGGGATGCGGTGCGTGCGCGCTAGGAGGAGGAGGAGCGAGGAGAGGAGCGGCGGGGAGGGCGAGTAGAATGGCTGCTGCTGCGCCCAGTGGAGGATCTGCAGGGGGAGAAAGGGAGGGAACGGGAGAGATAGGAGGAAATGTGAGAGAAGGTGTGGGATGCATTGAGATTGCGTCCTGTCTGTGAGAGGGTGAGTAGAATGGCTGCTGCTGCGCCCACTGGAGGATCTGGAGGGGGAGAAAGGGGGGGGGGGGGGGTGCACGAGAGACAGGAGGAAATGAGAGAGAGGGGGTGTGGGTTATGTTGAGGGCGAGTAGCAGCGCTGATGCTGCGCCCACTGGAGGATCTGGAGGGGGGAACCGGAGGGGCGGGAGGGGGGGAGGGGGGAGGTTGAGAGAGATGAGGGAGGGTTGGTTTAGGACGAGGGAGAAAGAGGGGGCGGACTGTACGCATGATGCAGGTGCTGTGTTTTGAGTCGACTCAAAAGTCTTGCTCCCTACATGCATGCAAGGGCGCGCATGATGCAGGTGCTGTGTTTTGAGTCGACTCAAAAGTCTTGCTCCCTACATGCATGCAAGGGCGCGCATGATGCAGGTGCTGTGTTTTGAGTCGACTCAAAAGTCTTGCTCCCTACATGCATGCAAGGGCGCGCATGATGCAGGTGCTGTGTTTTGAGTCGACTCAAAAGTCTTGCTCCCTACATGCATGCAAGGGCGCGCATGATGCAGGTGCTGTGTTTTGAGTCGACTCAAAAGTCTTGCTCCCTACATGCATGCAAGGGCGCGCATGATGCAGGTGCTGTGTTTTGAGTCGACTCAAAAGTCTTGCTCCCTACATGCATGCAAGGGCGCGCATGATGCAGGTGCTGTGTTTTGAGTCGACTCAAAAGTCTTGCTCCCTACATGCATGCAAGGGCGCGCATGATGCAGGTGCTGTGTTTTGAGTCGACTCAAAAGTCTTGCTCCCTACATGCATGCAAGGGCGCGCATGATGCAGGTGCTGTGTTTTGAGTCGACTCAAAAGTCTTGCTCCCTACATGCATGCAAGGGCGCGCATGATGCAGGTGCTGTGTTTTGAGTCGACTCAAAAGTCTTGCTCCCTACATGCATGCAAGGGCGCGCATGATGCAGGTGCTGTGTTTTGAGTCGACTCAAAAGTCTTGCTCCCTACATGCATGCAAGGGCGCGCATGATGCAGGTGCTGTGTTTTGAGTCGACTCAAAAGTCTTGCTCCCTACATGCATGCAAGGGCGCGCATGATGCAGGTGCTGTGTTTTGAGTCGACTCAAAAGTCTTGCTCCCTACATGCATGCAAGGGCGCGCATGATGCAGGTGCTGTGTTTTGAGTCGACTCAAAAGTCTTGCTCCCTACATGCATGCAAGGGCGCGCATGATGCAGGTGCTGTGTTTTGAGTCGACTCAAAAGTCTTGCTCCCTACATGCATGCAAGGGCGCGCATGATGCAGGTGCTGTGTTTTGAGTCGACTCAAAAGTCTTGCTCCCTACATGCATGCAAGGGCGCGCATGATGCAGGTGCTGTGTTTTGAGTCGACTCAAAAGTCTTGCTCCCTACATGCATGCAAGGGCGCGCATGATGCAGGTGCTGTGTTTTGAGTCGACTCAAAAGTCTTGCTCCCTACATGCATGCAAGGGCGCGCATGATGCAGGTGCTGTGTTTTGAGTCGACTCAAAAGTCTTGCTCCCTACATGCATGCAAGGGCGCGCATGATGCAGGTGCTGTGTTTTGAGTCGACTCAAAAGTCTTGCTCCCTACATGCATGCAAGGGCGCGCATGATGCAGGTGCTGTGTTTTGAGTCGACTCAAAAGTCTTGCTCCCTACATGCATGCAAGGGCGCGCATGATGCAGGTGCTGTGTTTTGAGTCGACTCAAAAGTCTTGCTCCCTACATGCATGCAAGGGCGCGCATGATGCAGGTGCTGTGTTTTGAGTCGACTCAAAAGTCTTGCTCCCTACATGCATGCAAGGGCGCGCATGATGCAGGTGCTGTGTTTTGAGTCGACTCAAAAGTCTTGCTCCCTACATGCATGCAAGGGCGCGCATGATGCAGGTGCTGTGTTTTGAGTCGACTCAAAAGTCTTGCTCCCTACATGCATGCAAGGGCGCGCATGATGCAGGTGCTGTGTTTTGAGTCGACTCAAAAGTCTTGCTCCCTACATGCATGCAAGGGCGCGCATGATGCAGGTGCTGTGTTTTGAGTCGACTCAAAAGTCTTGCTCCCTACATGCATGCAAGGGCGCGCATGATGCAGGTGCTGTGTTTTGAGTCGACTCAAAAGTCTTGCTCCCTACATGCATGCAAGGGCGCGCATGATGCAGGTGCTGTGTTTTGAGTCGACTCAAAAGTCTTGCTCCCTACATGCATGCAAGGGCGCGCATGATGCAGGTGCTGTGTTTTGAGTCGACTCAAAAGTCTTGCTCCCTACATGCATGCAAGGGCGCGCATGATGCAGGTGCTGTGTTTTGAGTCGACTCAAAAGTCTTGCTCCCTACATGCATGCAAGGGCGCGCATGATGCAGGTGCTGTGTTTTGAGTCGACTCAAAAGTCTTGCTCCCTACATGCATGCAAGGGCGCGCATGATGCAGGTGCTGTGTTTTGAGTCGACTCAAAAGTCTTGCTCCCTACATGCATGCAAGGGCGCGCATGATGCAGGTGCTGTGTTTTGAGTCGACTCAAAAGTCTTGCTCCCTACATGCATGCAAGGGCGCGCATGATGCAGGTGCTGTGCCGATGTCTACTACGTCTGAATTCAATGAAAAATGCCCCTCTAAATGTCAATCAACAGTGCATAACACTCTGCGCTCTCACTCACCCTGTAAGCGCGGATGCCGTCCCCCCGCGCCATCATGCCCTCCACCAGCCACTGCGCCTCCGCCCACCCCACGCGCCCCTCGCGACCCGCCCGCTCCAGCGCCCTCCCCAGCGCCTCCCGCCGCATCCGCGCCAGATTGTCGCGCAGCCTCTCCATCTCCCGCCCCGCGGAAGGGGGAAGCTTTTCCGCCACGCCTTCCGCATTCCTCCCTCCGCCAGATCCGCCCCTTTCTCTCCCCTGCGCGGCCTGCTCTTCCCCCGTCGCCCGCGCTCCTGGGCGAGCTTCCCTTTTCCCGCCCCCTCTTGATCTCCACCATCTCCGCTCACTGTCGTCTCCTCTCCGCCCCCCCTCACCATGATCCGCCGCCTTTCCGGTCCCCCTTTTCCGCCACCCGCCTGGATTCCCCTCTCCCCATGATCCGCCGCCTCCCCTTCCCCCCGCAGCCTCTGCAGCTGCGGATCGCTCCCGCGAACCCTCCGTCGCTGCAAAATTTCCCCTGCTGGCCAGCCCGCGCGGGGAGAAGACGGGGGGTGCGATCGGCGGAAATACTGAGGCTTGAGCGGCATAGCGTCCGCGCGGGAATGGAGGGATTTGTGTGACGCCATGAGTAGGGGAGACTGGCGGCAGCAGCCGCAGCGATTGGACCCGATCCGGGAGGGAGATGTTGTTCCATGATTGAGTCAACTGAGTTGATTGATTCGACTGAGTCAACGCATCATAGGCAGGTGTCGTTGCCGCCGTGCGATCCCCATTGCGCGCCGCCGTGCAGCGATGCCGCGGCGGTGCAATCGAATTCCGCCAGCTGGCGGCCGGAGTTTCGGCGACGCTGCACCGACGCCACGCGCGGCAGAAGGCGATTGGCCAGGCGGTTCCACCAGAGCCTCGCATCGCCACCGTGGCTGCCCCTGGCCGCTGCTGACGTGGCTACTGGTTGTTGGGGTGTCTGAACGCGTCTCGTCCCCCATTCAATAATTCGGAACGAAGTAAGAGGAATTCTGATCCTATCCCAAGACGCAGCACATTATGTTCTGAATTGGCCGTAGAGTAGCAATGATCAAGGCTGCTTTTTCACGAAGACTCGGGAGGGAACGTTCGGATCGCCTGTATGTGGCTAGATGTGTCCTAGCCGTCAGTTTATCCTTGAAATTCGGAATGGTTGTACTTTATTGTATATAGAAAGCTACACTTTGACTCAGATACAATAGTTACGGTCGCATTCGTGACACATTCGTGATGAGTATGACCCGCCTTGAAGAACAAAGTCGTGCCACGTCGAAGCTGCAACGAATGGTGGTGAACAGAGACTTTGCCTGAACCAAACAGTGGTGTCGATCAGGGCTGTCAATTGCTCTGGGGCCAGAACTTCGAAGGCTGATCTGCCCAGAAATTTGCCCTTAGATTTACGTTTTGGGGCCAAACTCAGCACTTGAAATCAGGGCTACAAAGTGTCATGCACTTTTGCTAGACAAGAGATCACCCTCGATTTTCAATGCCCAACCAAATTGTAAGGGTGAGGTTCTGGGACCTCTCTAGCACTAAGTACTCCCTGGCCTACGCTGCATTCCCCTTCTTTGTTGCGACCAAAGGCAGGATCTTGAGGCTGTTAGCGGACAGAAAACTTAAGGACTGACATTCCTCGCAGAAACCTACGGTCTGTACTAAAACCACTTCAGGTTCTGACCTGCGGTTCAGGTTCTGATTTCGAAAAAAACAGTTTAGGTCCTGACCTCGAAAGTTCACAGAGTAATCGAAACTGGCTCTGGGAAGAGTTATACTGCACCTGGAACTGGGATGATGGGAAATGGAGCGGGTGGGGAGAGGGGAGGGAGGTACGGCGGGAATCAGTTCGAAGGGGAAAGGGCTAGCCCCAAGACTCGTACTTGAAATCCGGGTTAGCCCCGAGCAAAGCACTTTAGGCAGACGTGCTGACCTGAAACCCAACCCTTAAATTCGGGGACCTAGGCCAAACTCAACCCTTAATGTTCAGGGCATTAAGGGCATTTGCCTTTGTAGCGACAGCCCTGGTGTCGATCGACCTGATCCTGTCGCTGACAAAACAGATGCTGTCGCTGTCGCAGCTCCAGAGACCAGAATCTACCAGAACCGATTCGTCAGGGTGAACCGTCAGCTCCACGGGTTACCCTGCTCAAGAAGCTCGTTGAGGCTCTTCGTCATTGGCTTTCGCCGAAGCACCAGCACCAACCATCACCTCAAACAAACATTTCGCATGAAGGCTCAGAATCAGAAATCCCTCGCTACAGCCACGAATCACAACGGAAGGAGTTCGTGGCGAATTACTGTACGATCACAACGGCCACCTACCTACCTTCCTGACGCGGCACAAGTCCGTCATGTTTGCACACATGTTTTCACAAAGGGTACCTACCACTTGCTCATCTCCTCGTGTGTATGTCTCAGGTCGCAAATGTTTTCAATTCAGCTAGATTGCACCGTTCTTTGCATTGCAGCCTACTCCGAGTTTGGTACTTCGGGAGGCTCCTTTCTTAGGATCATCGCGTTTCTATTTGATTCGGCATTCTAAACCCGTGAAAGTAGTACTATTCTGCAGGCAAAAGAGCGTCTCAGCTGGAATTAGTAGTGCGTTCCGTTGATTCGTCGTACATCGAAGCTGTGTCTGATGCTCGTTTTCCGATGAATTGCCAAGCCCACTATTTCCTCGCATCCTGACCGCACGCGATGGAAAGAATTTCCATTAGTTATCACTACTAGGACGATCAGCGCCGGAATCGCAATTGCGATCATCTTTTCGACTGGCGAACACTATTCGCGACCGGCAAAGTTCTCTTACCTGAAGTAACCTGCCATGATGTTTTCGCCACGTTCTCGCCGTGTATCACTACTGTCGCTTTTTGCGACAGCATCATCGATGCTCGTCCTTGCCACTGTAATGCTTCCGCCTTCTCGAGCTCTTCCTTCCCTTCCCCGCAGTTCAGCCCTTCTCGCCTTTCTTGATCTTCCCGCGGTCATCCACTCGATGCAAGGCTGTCGCGCAATGCCTGTCGCTTTACGCAATCGCCGTCGCTCAACGCAATTGTAGCTCGAGCCAAGGCTGTCGCTCAACGCAATTGTAGCTCGAGCCAAGGCTGTCGCTCATCGCAATTGTCGCTCCAGCCAAGGCTGACGCTACGCAAGCCTGTTACGAAGGCTGTCGCGCAAACCTGTCGCGCAAACCTGTCGTCTGTCGTCGGTCGTCCCCGGACCATCACCGCTTGCTTTCTTCCCCATCATGACCAGCGCCATGATCTGCTTCTTCCTAGGAATCCTTCCTCCCTGATCTCCCCAATTATCCTGTTTTTGAGCCCCCCTACCAAGCTGTCGTCTGCTTCTGAGTCGACTAAAAAATGACCAGCGCCATGATCGGCTTCTTCCTTCCTCCCTCATGTCCCCAATGATCCTGTTTTTTAGCCCCTACTACCACGCTGTCGTCGGCGTCTCCCTTCCCCACTGATCCTGTCTCTCTTCGTTCCCCCACATTTCCTATCTCACACATGCCTGCTCTTCGGAAAATCCGTCCCCCTTATCCAGCCCTCAATTCCCTCACCCAACACGCCCTGATCCCCCTGTCCTCGCAGGTGCTCCAGTCGCGTCTGACTATAGCGGGGACAGATTCGTCCCCCGCCCACGTGGACTTTGAGTATTCGGACTCGCTCTGTGGCACGGCATGGCGGGACGACTACCTCCGCCTGCACTCCGCCATTCGCGCCGCCAGTGCCGCCGCGTACACTCCCCCTCCCCCTCCCTCCCCCCCTCTCGCTCCCTCCTCCCGCCGATTGCTCTCTCTCACAAATTCCCCATCACCGCTACCACCAACCGCAGCAGCAACAGCAGCAGCAGCAGCAGCAGCAGTCCCAGGCGCAACCCCGTCAAATCAGACCCTCCCGGATTCCTCTGTTCGCTTTCTCACATTCGACCAAGTGGGGCACTGCGGGGGCTTCGGGGACTTTCTAGTGGGAATCGTCTCCTCCTTTGTCGCCGCGCTCTTGGACCGCCGGGCGTTTGTGATCCGCCATGATTGCATACAGTACGCGTTTGAGCCCGCATTCATCGACTGGCGCCCGTCCCCTGATGTTCCCATGGAGCCTTCTCGTCGAACGAGTAACCTGAACGAGTCGTTTTCGCCGGGCGTGGTTCCGTTTCTGGATTTGAACGGGAATCGAGTGGATGTGCAGCAGCTGGCGAAGTTTAAGGATTTTCGGAACGTGAAGGTGCTGTGGAACCGCGGGATACTGACGGAGATGCTTACAAAGGGGACGGGCGAGTGGGCCGATGCGTTCAGGGCGACCGGGCTGCGCCCACCGTACGCCTTCGGCTGCATTCTCCGATTCCTCGTCAGGTACGTTCTGCATCGCATTCAAGTACGCCTATCCTATGCCCCTCCCCCACCACCCTATGCCCCTCCCCCACCACCCTATGCCCCTCCCAACCACCCTATGCCTCCTCCCCACGACCCTGCCCCCAGCCCACCACCATATGCCGCTCTCCACCACCCTATTATCCCGCCCCGACCCTCAGGCAGGCCCAGGAAGGAGGTATGGCCGCTGGTGGCACGTCTGCTGCAGGAGATGCGGGAGGTGTGGGCATGGCAAAGAGATGCTCTCTGATTCCTCCCTTCCTCTCCCCTTCGTTTTCCCCACACACCCCCTTCCCACCCCTCACTGCAGGCCCAGGAAGGAGGTGTGGCCGCTGGTGGCACGGCTGATGCAGGAGATGCGGGAGGTGCGATGGTGGCGGTGGGGGTGCACGTGTGGCTGAGCACTCGCATCTTTTCCCGCTTTCCCTTCTTGACTCCCACTCTTCCCCCCGGCCCCACCCCTCATCCATCCCTCATCCATCCCTCATCCCTCACTGCAGGCCCAGGAAGGAGGTATGGCCGCTGGTGGCGCGGCTGCTGCAGGAGATGCGGGAGGTGCGGACGGTGGTGGTGGGGGTGCATGTGCGGCTGAGCGACAGTGTGGTGCGGGACCCCCACGCCACCAGCAGCAGCGTCACCCCCGCCTCCATGGCTGCTGCTATGGCCCAAGCTGCTCCCATCCTCGCCTGTGCCAAGGTGAGCCTTCGTCTGAGTCTCCAAGAGAGAAATAAATCATGACTTGGAATTAGGATCAAAGAGGCAAGTGAGTGTGTTAATTTGTGGCTGCTGCCATCATCTCACCATCATCTCACCATCACCCCATCACCCCACCATCCATCATCTCACCATCATCTCACCATGACCACACCATCATCTTCCATCACCCCACCATCACCCCACCATCACCCCACCATCACCCCACCATCACCCCACCATCACCCCACCATCACCCCACCATCACCCCACCATCACCCCACCATCATCCCACCATCACCCCACCATCACCCCACCATCACCCCACCATCACCCCACCATCACCCCACCATCATCCCACATCATCCCACCATCATCCCACCATCACCCCACCATCACCCCACCATCACCCCACCATCATCCCACCATCACCCCACCATCACCCCACCATCACCCCACCATCATCCCACCATCATCCCACATCATCCCACCATCATCCCACCATCACCCCACCATCATCCCACCATCATCCCACCATCATCCCACCATCATCCCACCATCATCCCACCATCATCCCACCATCATCCCACCATCATCCCACCATCATCCCACCATCATCCCACCATCATCCCACCATCATCCCACCATCATCCCACCATCATCCCACCATCATCCCACCATCATCCCACCATCATCCCACCATCATCCCACCATCATCCCACCATCATCCCACATCATCCCACCATCATCCCACCATCATCCCACCATCACCCCACCATCATCCCACCATCATCCCACCATCATCCCACCATCATCCCACATCATCCCACCATCATCCCACCATCATCCCACCATCATCCCACCATCATCCCACCATCATCCCACCATCATCCCACCATCACCCCACCATCATCCCACCATCATCCCACGATCATCCCACGATCATCCCACGATCATCCCACGATCATCCCACCATCATCCCACATCATCCCACCATCATCCCACCATCATCCCACCATCATCCCACCATCATCCCACCATCATCCCACCATCATCCCACCATCATCCCACCATCATCCCACCATCATCCCACCATCATCCCACATCCCCACCATCATCCCACCATCATCCCACCATCATCCCACCATCACCCACCATCATCCCACCATCATCCCACCATCATCCCACCATCATCCCACATCATCCCACCATCATCCCACCATCATCCCACCATCATCCCACCATCATCCCACCATCATCCCACCATCATCCCACCATCATCCCACCATCATCCCACCATCATCCCACCATCATCCTACCATCATCCCACATCATCCCACATCATCCCACATCATCCCACCATCATCCCACCATCATCCCACCATCATCCCACATCATCCCACATCATCCCACCATCATCCCACCATCATCCCACCATCATCCCACCATCATCCCACCATCATCCCACCATCATCCTACCATCATCCCACATCATCCCACATCATCCCACATCATCCCACCATCATCCCACCATCATCCCACCATCATCCCACATCATCCCACATCATCCCACCATCATCCCACCATCATCCCACCATCATCCCACCATCATCCCACCATCATCCCACCCTCATCCCACCATCATCACACCATCACCCCACCATCATCCCACCATCATCCCACCATCATCCCACCATCATCCCACCATCATCCCACCATCATCCCACCATCATCCCACCATCATCCCACCATCATCCCACCATCATCCTACCATCATCCCACCATCATCCTACCATCATCCCACATCATCCCACATCATCCCACCATCATCCCACCATCATCCCACCATCATCCCACCATCATCCCACATCATCCCACATCATCCCACCATCATCCCACCATCATCCCACCATCATCCCACCATCATCCCACCATCATCCCACCCTCATCCCACCATCACCCCACCATCATCCCACATCATTCCACCATCATCCCACCATCATCCCACCATCATCCCACCATCATCCCACCATCATCCCACCATCACCCCACCATCATCCCACCATCATCCCACCATCATCCCACCATCATCCCACATCATCCCACCATCATCCCACCATCATCCCACCATCATCCCACCATCATCCCACCATCATCCCACCATCATCCCACCATCACCCCACCATCATCCCACCATCATCCCACGATCATCCCACGATCATCCCACCATCATCCCACCATCATCCCACCATCATCCCACATCATCCCACCATCATCCCACCATCATCCCACCATCATCCCACCATCATCCCACCATCATCCCACCATCATCCCACCATCATCCCACCATCATCCCACCATCATCCCACCATCATCCCACCATCACCCCACCATCATCCCACCATCATCCCACCATCATCCCACCATCATCCCACATCATCCCACCATCATCCCACCATCATCCCACCATCATCCCACCATCATCCCACCATCATCCCACCATCATCCCACCATCATCCCACCATCATCCCACCATCATCCCACCATCATCCCACCATCATCCTACCATCATCCCACATCATCCCACATCATCCCACATCATCCCACCATCATCCCACCATCATCCCACCATCATCCCACATCATCCCACATCATCCCACCATCATCCCACCATCATCCCACCATCATCCCACCATCATCCCACCATCATCCCACCATCATCCTACCATCATCCCACATCATCCCACATCATCCCACATCATCCCACCATCATCCCACCATCATCCCACCATCATCCCACATCATCCCACATCATCCCACCATCATCCCACCATCATCCCACCATCATCCCACCATCATCCCACCATCATCCCACCCTCATCCCACCATCATCACACCATCACCCCACCATCATCCCACCATCATCCCACCATCATCCCACCATCATCCCACCATCATCCCACCATCATCCCACATCATCCCACATCATCCCACATCATCCCACCATCATCCCACCATCATCCCACCATCATCCCACCATCATCCCACCATCATCCCACCATCATCCCACCATCATCCCACCATCATCCCACCATCATCCTACCATCATCCCACCATCATCCTACCATCATCCCACATCATCCCACATCATCCCACCATCATCCCACCATCATCCCACCATCATCCCACCATCATCCCACATCATCCCACATCATCCCACCATCATCCCACCATCATCCCACCATCATCCCACCATCATCCCACCATCATCCCACCCTCATCCCACCATCACCCCACCATCATCCCACATCATTCCACCATCATCCCACCATCATCCCACCATCATCCCACCATCATCCCACCATCATCCCACCATCATCCCACCATCATCCCACCATCATCCCACCATCATCCCACCATCATCCCACATCATCCCACCATCATCCCACCATCATCCCACCATCATCCCACCATCATCCCACCATCATCCCACATCATCCCACCATCATCCCACCATCATCCCACCATCATCCCACCATCATCCCACCATCATCCCACCATCATCCCACATCATCCCACCATCATCCCACCATCATCCCACCATCACCCCACCATCATCCCACCATCATCCCACCATCATCCCACCATCATCCCACATCATCCCACCATCATCCCACCATCATCCCACCATCATCCCACCATCATCCCACCATCATCCCACCATCATCCCACCATCACCCCACCATCATCCCACCATCATCCCACCATCATCCCACCATCATCCCACCATCATCCCACCATCATCCCACATCATCCCACCATCATCCCACCATCATCCCACCATCATCCCACCATCATCCCACCATCATCCCACCATCATCCCACCATCCCACCATCATCCCACCATCATCCCACCATCATCCCACCATCATCCCACATCATCCCACCATCATCCCACCATCATCCCACCATCACCCAACCATCATCCCACCATCATCCCACCATCATCCCACCATCATCCCACCATCATCCCACCATCATCCCACCATCATCCCACCATCATCCCACCATCATCCCACCATCATCCCACCATCATCCCACCATCATCCCACCATCATCCCACCATCATCCCACCATCATCCCACCATCATCCTACCATCATCCCACATCATCCCACATCATCCCACCATCATCCCACCATCATCCCACCATCATCCCACCATCATCCCACATCATCCCACATCATCCCACCATCATCCCACCATCATCCCACCATCATCCCACCATCATCCCACCATCATCCCACCCTCATCACACCATCACCCCACCATCATCCCACATCATTCCACCATCATCCCACCATCATCCCACCATCATCCCACGATCATCCCACCATCATCCCACCATCATCCCACCATCATCCCACCATCATCCCACCATGATCCCACATCATCCCACCATCATCCCACCATCATCCCACCATCATCCCACCATCATCCCACCATCATCCCACATCATCCCACCATCATCCCACCATCATCCCACCATCATCCCACATCATCCCACCATCATCCCACCATCATCATCCCACCATCATCCCACCATCATCCCACCATTACCTCGTCATCACCCCGCCCCCCCCTCCTTATCCGCGCCAGGCAGTGGAGGACATGTGGTACCCCCCGCCTCTCACTGTGCGATGGATGCTCATCACCAACTCAATTGACTTCAAAATGGCCATCCGCTCGCATTTTCCCGGCAAGGTGGGTGGCTCTGCTCTCTGCAAATGCTGCGTTGGATTCTCGTAGAAGTTCATAAGTCTCCATCAAAGTTGGGGTCTTATCACCAATTCAATCGACTTCAAGATGGCCATCCGCTCGCACTTCCCTGGCAAAGTGAGTTCTTCTGCTCTCTGCAAATGATTTGTGGGAGTTTTTTAGGAGTTAGTAGTCATATCAAAGGTGGATGCATGCCCATCACCAACTCTATTGACTTCAACGATGGATGCTCCATCCGCTCGCACTTCCCCGGCAAGGTCAGCGCCTAGATCCCACTCCCGGCTTCTTTTCTGTGTCACACTGAGCTACCGCCTAGTAGGGGCATCCATATTGACCCATCTATCCACATTTTATTCCCGTATGACTGCATCTCGTGTGCATGCTTTGTGATCACCCATCCATCTACCTCTTCGCTCCCATAACCTACTCCACTCCCCATAACCCACCTGTCCACTCCACTCCCCGTAACCCACCTGTCCACTCCACTCCCCATCACTCACCCACCTATACCCTATAATCTTTGCGCTCCTCATGGCTTCTGCAGATACTCGAGACAGATTTCGTGCCGCGCCACTCACAGGCATTCAGTGACAAGGACAAGGAGAAGGCAAAGGAGGAAGCAGAGCAAGGCTATCGGGAGGTGGTGGCCGAGTGGCTCTTTCTGTCGTCTAGCAACTCGTTTGTTCTGCCAATCTCAGGGTTTTCTCGCACTCCCCATAACCCACCTGTCCACTCTGCTCCCCGTAACCCTCCCGTGCACTCCCTACAGATACTCGAGACAGATTTTGTGCCTCGGCACTCACAGGCGTTCAGCGACAAGGACCAGGAGCAGGCAAAGAAGGAAGCCGAGCAAGGCTATCGGGAGATGGTGGCCGAGTGGCTCTTGCTGTCGTCTAGCAACTCGTTTGTTCTGCCAATCTCAGGGTTTTCTCGCACTCCCCATAACCCACCTGTCCATTCTGCTTCCCGTAACCCTCTCCCGTGCACTCCCTACAGATACTCGAGACAGATTTTGTGCCTCGGCACTCACAGGCGTTCAGCGACAAGGACCAGGAGCAGGCGAAGAAGGAAGCAGAGCAAAGCTACCGGGAGATGGTGGCCGAGTGGCTCTTGCTGTCGTCTAGCAACTCGTTTGTTCTGCCAATCTCAGGGTTTTCGCGCACCGCTGCTATGTACTCACTAAGACCAATGGCTATTTTCACGCCGCCTCATTACTGCGACCCGGAACAGCCACATCGGCAAACGGATTTTGGGATTGCATACAGCGGCATTTGATTACACATTCGATTGCATTGTATAATATTCCTTAATTGTTTATTTCACCCCTCCACAAACAATACAGCTTCAGCCCACGCTCTTGTTCAAGAATCACTACATATCTGTGCACTGGTGATGGATGGGTGATACCGTATGACTGGATTATCTTGAGTGATGGAGAGGCTACGAAAGTGCTCTCAAGTGCCACAAAGCTGAATACGGTACAAAACCTGCAGGTCGGAGACACGGACCATGTTTCAGGGCGGAGCGGAAACACGGACAGTGTTGAGCAAACCTGCAGTGCCAAGAGTGTTAGACGGAGAAATCTATAGATGACAAAAGTTGCACAGTGGTACAGTAACACACATCACTATATATGTACATACGGTACAGGTACAAATGGTACAGAATATATGCGGTGCAGCGGTGCCAATGACTACGGGTTAGCCTGTGCTATGGGGGGGCCAACCAAGCACATGTATTTGTATGTGTGCTGATTCCTCAAGGTACATGCCTCCAGACCAGGACCGCCTTGTGCCGCTTCTGAGAACTCTAAAAAAAAAAGCTCAGAAGTGCTACGGGGGCGACCAAGCACACACGGATTCATATGTGTGCTTCAGATACGCCTCCAAAACCGCCTTCTGCGAATGGGCACGCACAAAAAGGACGGGAGAAGGAGGTTACAGAACTCTCCAAGACATCTCACAAGTGCTTCCGGGGCGACCAAGCACACACGGATTCATATGTGTGCTTCAGATACGCCTCCAAAACCGCCTTCTGCGAATGGGCACGCACAGAAAGGACGGGAGAAGGAGGTTACAGAACTCTCCAAGACATCTCACAAGTGCTTTCGCGGCGACCAAGCACACATGAATTCATATGTGTGCTGCAGTTACGCCTCCAGACCAGAACTGTCGTCTGCGAACGGCCAGGCACAGAATGGGTGGGAAAAGGGGGCTTTCTGAAAGGAACATTGGCTGACCAACGACAGATATGAGCAGAGACACAACACGCAAAGAGGGTCACCGCGTGGTGCGGTGTGGTGCTCTATATGTGCCATCTTATCATGTCATGCGTGTGCTTTCTGTCGAATTAAAGAACAAAAGGTCATGCAAAGAGCGGGTCTTAGTGTGGTGTTGTGCGGTGCCCGCACAAAAGGTCATGCTGTAGATGTATCCTGTCCTCCCTAATTCAGTGCTGCCTCCCAAGCCCTGAGTGTGACTTTTGAGTCAGCTCAAATCACACAAGGACTTGGGAACATGCAGGCAAGAAATGCAGGTGGCACATGCAGCAGCAGGAGCTTTCCTTTGAGTCAAAATCATGACTATTGAGTCAACTCAGAAGTCATCACGATGACAAGGAAGACATGCAGGCGGCACATGCAGCAACAGGAGTATCCTTTCCACAGAAAAAAAGCACAGTTCGCATGGAGGAACAGGGCATGTTGAGAAACGGCAGCAGGAGTATCCTTTCCACGAAAAAGGCACAGCTTGCAAGGAGGATGGAGATGAGGAGGAGAGGAGGAAACTTTTGAGTCGACTCAAAAGTCAACTTGGAGGAACAGGGCATGTTGAGAAACGGCAGCAGGAGTGTCCTTTCCACGAAAAGGCATGGCTTGCAAGGAGGATGGAGATGAGGAGGAGACGAGGAATCTTAGTTTCGCACCTGGAATCTAGCGAAGGGGCAGACCACCCTCCCACCGCACAGCTGAGAGGGGTCGCATGGGAGAGGCATGAGGAGGAAGCAAGGTAGCAGAAGGCAAATGTACGGATATGGGTGATGAATGAAAGTTAGGGTAAGGCATGTGTACAGGAAGAACGGGGATAGAGATGAAGGATGGAGGAACAAGGAGGTGTGAGAGCGAGTGGATCAGCAGGCACAATCGAGCAACAGCTACGCAATAAGAAAAAAAACAGCGAACGAACGAGCGAATGGCCTATCCCTCACCAAAACAAACAACAACGCAAGTGCAGCAACAGCTAAGCAATGAGCTCACCGGCAGCGGCACGAAGCGCTCGTTATCACTGCCACTGCAAAGCTGTGTGGCACCCAACAAGCCAAAGGCCCACCCAACCCAAGCAACAAAGCAAGCAGCAGCACAGCAGCTCAGCTCACCGGCAGCGGCACGAGGCGCCCGTTGTGCATCCCTGCCACTGCAAAGCAGGCAGCTGAATCGCCCGTGCAAAAGAGGCGAGCCCAACAAGCAAATGGCTCACCCAACCAGCAAGCAAGCAAGCAGTCCAGTCCAGCTCACCGGCAGCGGCACAAAGCGCTCGTTGTGCATCACTGCCACTGCAAAGCCATCTGTCAACGCCGCTGTAGCATCTTGATCAGAGTCCATGATAGCAGTTGTCTCCGAGGTCCCCTCTCCTCCAACACCACTGCTGCTGCCGCCGCTGCCGCCGCCGCCGCCACCATGAGAATCACAGGAGCTGGAGGCAGCATCCGCCGACCCGTGAGGCCCACACCTGAAAGGACAACTGAGAGCTTTCATTAGATTTGCGACGACTCGTTAAGATGCCTTTGAAAGCAGAGAAACTCGCGCAGAATGCTGCGAGCACCTGAAGATAAGTACTTTCGAGAACCTCTCACGAAAAAGTTGCTCACGGAAAACTCGTTTACAATGCTGCGCGCACCTGAAGAGGATGACAGAAGTATTGGCAGCGTAGGGTGCGATCTGGCTGGCCTGCCAGCGCCGGTGCGAAGGAGAGGTGGGAGTAATTTTGAACCAACTCAGATATTACCTACTCTACTCACCTGAAGAGAATGACTGCAGTGTTGGCAGCATAGGGTGCGATCTGGCTGGCCTGCCAGCGCCGGTGGGATGGAGGCGCAGGCGGCAGAGGCACTGGTGGGGCGAACTGCTGCGTGATTGTAGTGGCTACCTTCGCCATTAGCAGATCGTATTTGTCACGGTGAGGCCCTTCCTTCTCCTGCTGTTGCTGCTGCTGCTGCTGCTGTTGCTGCTGCTGCTGCTGCTGCTGCTGCTGCTGCTGCTGCTGCTGCTGCTGCTGCTGCTGCTGCTGCTGCTGCTGCTGCTGCTGCTGCTGCTGCTGCTGCTGCTGCTGCTGCTGCTGCTGCTGCTGCTGCTGCTGCTGCTGCTGCTGCTGTTGCTGCTGCTGCTTTTCTTTCTGGTGGTCGCTTTCATCCTCTTTAGTGGCGGCCTCGTTGGAGGAGTCTGGTTTATACAGTCCCAAAAGACACGCGAACGGAATGACTGTTTCCGCATGCCCGAAGTGCAAGGCAGCCCTCTCCCTCACCCCATCCCTCCACCCCTCCTTCTCCTTTTTCCCCTTCTTCCCCTTCTTCCCCTTCTTCCCAACCCTCCCTTCCCCCTCCTTTCCCTCCTTCCCCACTTCCATCTCCTCCTTTCCCGTCCCCTCCACCTCTCCCAACTCCCCCTACCCCCACCCCATCAGCTGCCCCCCCCAAGCTCCCTTCCTCCCAGAGACTCCTAAGCCGCGCATTGACCATTCTCTCGCTTAGTTCCTGCAGCAGCTTTAGACCCATGTGGTAGTTAATCTCCCGCCCATACCCCTTCTGCATGAACGTGTCCACGTCATCAATCCACTCCAGCACCGCCAGGTGGCGCGCCGAGAAGAGCCCACACGCGCGGGAGGCCGAGCCCAGCCAATAAGAATTCGCACCTTCCTGGTTTCTGTTGGTGTGTGCTTCTTGTGTGTGAGTATCTTTCCCTTCTCCTTCTTCCCCCCCTCCCCCTCCTCTCAGCAGCACCCCTGCCTCGTGCTTGCACTGCAGCCAAAGCCCACTCACATCGTACGCCGTCAGATCAACTCCAGACGCCTCCAGCCACGCATCCTGACCGTCCATTCCACCCCCCTGCAACCCTCCATATCCCAACCCCAGCTGCTCATTCCCATCCCCTGCAACCTCCCCTCGCACCCCCTCCTCTTTCTTGTGTGCCTCAGGTGATTCAGGGACTAACCCAAGCTGTTTGTTAATATCGCGGGCAATTTCCCCCCATAAAACCTCCCACCCTTCATCCAGCCGCCCCTGGGCGTTCTCCTTCACTGCCACGTACGCGCCGCACAGGTTGTGGAACCGAAGCTTCGTGTCGCCTTCCTGGGTCTCGGAAATTACTGGGAAGGCGCGGAGACGCGCGGGCGTGAGGGAGCCGGAGTTCTCTAGGAGGCCGATGGCAAAGGCGACTGCACTGGCAGCTGAGCGCGCTACCTGATGGGGTGGGGTGGGGGGGAAGGAATGGGAGGGAGAGGAAGGAGGAGATTTGAGGCGCCTCACAAGGTGAGAGAGCCGGAGCTCTCTAGGAGGCCGATGGCAAAGGCGACTGAACTGGCTGCTGAACGGGCGATCTGGGGGAGGAGAGGGGAAAGGGATGGATGGAAGAGAGATGATGGAGTGAAGATGGAAAATTGAGGCGCCTCAAGAGGTGAGTGAGCTCCAAACGAGTTCTCTAGGAGGCCAATGGCAAAGGCCACTGCACTGGCTGCTGAACGGGCGACCTGGGGAGGGGATGGGAGACGATAAGGAGACAGGTATGAGCTTGGACGTTTGAGGCGCGAGAGAGCCGGCGTTTTCTAGGAGACCGATGGCAAAGGCGACAGCACTGGCTGCATGGAGAACAGCTTGACGGCCTTGCTGCGGTATGAACCCCCGAGCAGCGTGGGAAAGCGCCTCTTGAACCGCCCCCCCATGCGATACAGCTCCTCCTCTCCCTCCCCCAGCAACTCGCCTCCCCTCAACCACAGAAACCCACACCCCCTGACAACCACAACTGCGTAGGAAAACGGTAGACGCCCACACTTAGCAACACAGCTCCTGCCCACTCTGCCCCTTACCTGCGTGGAGAACAGCTTGACGGCCTTGCTGTGATACGAACCCCCGAGCAGAGAAGGAAACCGCCTCTTGAACCGCCCCCCCATGCGATACAGCTCCTCCTCTCCCTCCCGCAACAGCTCGCCTCCCCCCTGCATCCCTTCCCAGGGCGACTGGTAGCCCCGCATCCACTGTGGGAGACGTAGACGTGACTGGGCTGCAGCAGATGTTCTTGCAGAGGCAGTGGCAGAAGAGTCAGCAGAGGCAGAGGCAGCCGAAAGAACAGGTGCAGAGGCAAAAGATCTAGAGGCGGCAGCGGAGGCAGCAGCAAAGGTGCGTCTGAGCTTGGGCGCGAGGTCGTTCAGCTGGTGCACGCGACGCTTGGTGGGCTCCCTTGCTCCGTGCCTCGCCTGGATGGACGGGGGAAGAGGACATGAGGAGCAGAGGGCAGCAGAGAGAGACACACGGGCCGCACGGGATGGTATAAAGGGCAGCAAAGGTGCGTCTGAGCTTGGGCGCGAGCTCGTTCAGCTGGTGCACGCGACGCTTTGTGGGCTCCCTTGCTCCGTGCCTCGCCTGGAATGGGGGGACGGGGACATGAGGCGCAGAGGGCAGCAGAGGGAGACACACGGGCAGCACAGGATGGCATAGAGAGGCAGCAAAAGCACGTCTGAGCTTGGGCGCGAGGTCGTTCAGCTGATGAGACGAGAGTGACAGGGAAGTGGAAGGCAGCAGCGGGGCAGCAAAGGCGCGTCTGAGCTTGGGGGTGAGGTCGTTCAACTGGTGCACGCGACGCTTTGTGGGCTCCCTTGCTCCGTGCCTGGCCTGGAACGAGGGGACGAGAGGGAAGGGCGGGGATCGGAGACACACGTGGGGATGGGAAGGACGGGAAGACGGAGAGAAAGTGCAAGGAACGGCAGGCAGCACAGGGGAACATGGGGAGCAGGGCCGTACTGAGACACGGGGAGGCATGGGGAGAAGGTGAGGTGACAGTCAGGCTGATGTGTGTGGGCTCAAAAGAGGCGGACAGACTCTATATGGAAACACTTTTGAGAATTCTCAAAAGTGATTTCAATATAGAGGTGACAGTCAGGCTGACGTGTGTGGGCTCAAAAGAGGCGCACAGACTCAAAATGAAGGTGGACGAAAGCACGGAACGGCAGGTCAGGCAGGCAGCCGCGACAGGGCAGACCGGCACGTTGGGCAGGTAAGGCAGGCAGGGATGCAAGGCCAGGGAGGGCGAGGAGGGCGCACGAGGAGGAAGAGGTAGATGGGCGTGCAGGAGGGCGGCAGGTTGAGGTGTGTGGGCTGAAATGAGACAGACAGACTCAACGTAAGGCGAAAGAGAACGTAGGCAGGGTAATTCAGGGCAGGGAGGCCGTACGAGGAGGAAGAGGTAGATGGGCGTGCAGGTAGGTTGATGTGTGAGGACTCATACAAGACAGACCAACTCAAAATAAGGCGAAAGAGAGAGCAGAAGACAGAGCAGGGTACAGTAGGGCAGGGAGGACGCACGAGGAGGAAGAGGTAGGTGGGCGTGCAGGAGGGCGGCAGGCTGAGGTGTGTGGACTAAAAGAGACTAACAGACTCCAAGCAAGGCGAGAGAGAGCACAGAAAGGCAGGGCAGGGCAGGCCGTACGAGGAGGAAGAGGTAGATGGGCGTGCAGGAAGGCGGCAGGCTGAGGTGCTCCAGGTACTGTGGGCCGCCCGCTGCTGCTAGCGAGTCCTCGTACCTGGTAAAAGGGGCCAGAGCGGGTAAGGTAAGGAGGGGGTCATGAGGGGCAAGGCACGGTAAGAAGGACTGCCGTCACAGTACTGTGGGCCGCCCGCTGCTGCTAGCGAATCCTCGTACCTGGGAATAAGGTGTGGGGGAGAGGGTGGGGAGGAAATCAAGGGGGGATTCATGAGGGCGCACGAGGAGACGGAGGTAGATGGGCAGGATGATGTGCTCCAGGTACTGTGGGCAGCCCGCTGCTGCTAGGGAGTCCTCGTACCTGGGGATGGCGGGGGACGCGGGAAATGTAAGGGAGTGAGATGAGAAGGGGGTCAAGCACGCACAAGGGAGGGGTAAAAACTAGTGCCTTCCGGTACTGCCAGCCGCCCGCTGCTGCCAGCGACTCCTCGTACCTGGGACAGGGCAGGGCAGCTCAGGGGGCGGTCATGAGGGTAAGGTTTCGGACAGGTGCAGCATGATGACGTGCAGCATGATGACGTGCAGCATGATGACGTGCAGCATGATGACGTGCAGCATGATGACGTGCAGCATGATGACGTGCAGCATGATGACGTGCAGCATGATGACGTGCAGCATGCTGCAGGCTAAGATGGGAATAGGTGTGTCTCGGTAGAGTTGCAAACCCGCATGTTGCTGTAAGCAAATCCGCGTACCTGATTATAAGGGGGATGACAGAGGGTATGGGCAACTGACCACGACTGGCATAGGCGTTGTGATCAGACTCAGGTCCTCAGGGTAAAGAACTTCAAGGATTTCAAGGCCTTCAGGAGAACCTCTACGCTTCATTCCTTCTAGCGCTCCCTGATTCTGACTCGCTAGCATAATCAACGGGCTATTAATCCCAGTTTCCCTTTCCGGGCTATCACTCCATGCATCATCATGCGTGTGCACAATTCATGCCCCATCCAGGCACAATCTACGCATTCTGATGTATAACGACGCACTTCATTCACCTGAATATTCACCTGGTGGCGGTCCCCAGGTGAGCCGCAATGCTCGCGTTCACATCTCGCGAGTTTGCCGCCCATGCTGCGAAGCACTCCTCGTCCCCACGCGATCCCTTGCACGACTCTTCCCGCCACAATCTCGCGCCGCTCCCTGATTCTTGGCCGCTTATCCCCTCTCGGCCGTCAGTTCCTCGGCCGTCAGTCCCTTGGCCGTCAGTTTCTGGAATCTCTTCGCCATAACTCTCAGGTACGCCATACTGTGCGCTTTCTGCCTGCACTATAGGCTGTGAACCCTTTCCCTCTTCGGTTTGCTGCAGCTCCGTCGCGAGGGCATCGCCCTCCGATCTGCCCAGAAAACGTATGCGCTCAACAAAAATTTCACTTGTTTCGCGAATATTGGCGAAATATCTCGCGAATTCGACACGGAATATGGGTAACGTGCCGTCTGGAGCTGTGCAGCTGTGCGATAGCGTGAAACGTGGCGAGCAATGACTGACGAAGCCAAAAAACGCGAAACCAACCGAGCAGACGGTGATGCATATGACAATAGCACATGCGATCGAACGGCGCGAACGGTTACCCCGCTGTGCTGATTCCATGGCCGCCCGAACACAGTGGCCGCTGCGAAATCTAAGCAAACGCGCCTGTAATTATCTTGGTGGTCCCTGGATGAATTCCAGATTGACAACTCCGCAAACGCATCATTGATAAACGATCATTCCCACGGGACGGGGTGAACCCGTTACCGGAACATCCTACAGTGAGTGACCTTGTTCAGCAGCACAACACAACACAGTCTGTCACCAGATTTTGTGGCGGGAAAAGTGGCTTCGGCACTCCCGCTTGGCGAAAGGAGCTTGGGCTGACGAGCAGCAGCGAAGGTTTTCCTTGTCTGCGAGAAAAGTAGGCGATTTTCAGCGGTCAAGGTTGTTCAGTCGTTCAGCACATATCTACCGCTCGTCCAGTTACTTCTGTAACGATGGAAGTTCGGGAAACCCCGAAACCGAAACATTCCAGTCCAGTTTCCCCGCCTATGGAGTTTCGCACAGCCCGTGCGCCGTAAGGGCGTGTCTTGCTTGGCGGAAGTACATTCACTTTGTGGTACTGTTACCCGATAACAGACAAGCATTTTACGAGCCGAACAGACAGCCACTTCTGGATTCGTTTCTGGCAGCGATTTTTTACGTGTCCTAGTTCGTGTGCAAAACTTGCCATGCACTCGATTACAGAAAATGTACACACATATTTCGGGGTTTGCCAAGGTGTTTTCAGGCAGGCGAAGTTTGCCAATACAGGTCTAACGAAAACGAACGAAGGCCCGAGGGCGATTCTTACCATGGCACGAGCGTGAGAAAATCCCGCCGAATTAAGTAACGAAATTCGCAGTGAGACAGGGTACCGCTCGCGACTTCTGATATGCCACACAACTTGTGTTCGGGCGGGACTGAATGTCCGCGTGCAAATTAATGGGTTCGCGTCAGGCAGACACAAACCATTTTCTGTACGTGGGGGCAGCACATTTGGGAAAATTCACAATTACGAAAAAATGGTGTTAAAGCCCAATATACACCCTGCAAGACACGCCCTAAAAAGAGAGCAGCCAAGTTGCCACGGCCAAGTTTCCGATTGTGAGCGGCCAAGATAGTAGTCTTGACCCGCATGGTTCTGCTATAGCATTACTCCATATTGCTCTGTGTTTACAAAATAGCAGAACCTGTAAGTAGATAATACAAGGGCCAACAACTTTGGCACTCATGAAGACCACCATCATCCACTTTCCCCTGGTGAGCTAATACATACTTTCTGACACAATACACACACACACACACACACACACACACACACACACACACGCGCTCTTGCTCTTATTAGTGATCCGTCCTATTAGGAGCCAATGATGTATTTTGGACATCAAGTTGGATGCCCTAATACCGTATGCAGTCCGCATATCTGTCCACCCTGCATCGTTGAAGGTTGGAATACCACCGCCCTGTCCAACCACCACCACCGCCGCTGCCAGCAACAGCTCAGTCGAAGTTGAAGCACATGCCGGACGTGCATATCCCCGGGCAACTCGCACCACAGGCGCCGCAGTGGTCGTTACTGTGGAGGAGATCCACACAGCTGCCGCCGCAGCAATTCTGCGACACTTCGCAGAAGTTGCCACACGCCCCACAGTTGTTGACGTCAGTCGATGTGTCCACGCACCGGCTGGTGGGGAAAAACAGTGCAAGGAGAACGAGTGCAAGGAGAATGGAACGTGGAACAATGCAGCTTTTGCGTTTGATACCATCCGTCGTTTGGTCCACACACAGGCTGGTGGGGGGGTAGTTGTAAAGAAAAAGGTGAAAATGCAGAGGCTGGTGGGGGAAGAGTGGGTGCAAGGAAAATGGAAATGTGAGTCGCCTCTTTGGTAACAGGCTATTCTTGGAGAGTAGTAGCGCGCTCCTCAGTTCTTGTTGTCAGTTGTCTCCTCCACACACAGTCTAGTGGGGGGATAGAGTGAACGCAACAGGACAAGGGCTTAGCGGTAATCGTTTCGTGGAGAGTGATGGGCAGGGCATGTGCTCAAGCGGGTAAAGACCTGCACTGCATGGGATTAGCGGTAATCGTTTCGTGGCTTGTATCTTTGAGGTACTCACGAGCGGCAGACGGTTTGGTTCCCGCGGCATTTGGACACCAGCAGGCGACGCAACTTCATTTGCGGGTTACCACCGTCAGCGCCACTTCCCGACGTTCGCATGGCGTATGGCTGGAGGGAAGGGTTTCGGGAGGACAACCAAGCAAAAGAGCTCATTTTGCATGCATGACGTCATGCAGCGCGATGCCAAGAAGGGGGATGCAGATTGCGAGGGACTTTTGAGTAGTTCGCTGCTACGCAGACGTCCGACGTCTGCATCGGCGCAGTGAGTCACTCGCAGCAAGTTGCGGTCGATTTTATTAACGTTTGCATCGCAGGTGGGTGCGGGAGTAGCAAGGGGAGGATGAGTTCGTCGCCGCAGAGAAAGCGCGAAAGAAGTGCGAAAGAAGTGCGAAAAAAGTGCGAAAAAATTGCGAAAGAAAGTGCGAAAGAAACTGCGAGAGAAGCTTGAGAGAGGAAGATCCCGACGACAAGCCAGTTACAGGGTTATAAGAAAATCCGAAAGTTGCTCTTACTTCGAGCTCTTTTGCACTGGCTGTTATCGCGGCCGCTAGTAATGCGGCGGCGATGCAGAGAAGGAGACTCAGGCGTATTGACCGTGACTCCATCGTAATGAAGTCTTACTGTTGTCTCGAGTCTGTGTCTACTAGAGCTGTAGATGCGTCCGAAGAAGAACTTGGGCTGATCGTCTCTTGTAAGGTTTTCTTCGTGAGTAACCTTTTCCAGAGGAAAAAGTAGACTGATGTCGCATGAGAAGGGCCGTGTGACTGACAGTCTAGTGGAGGAAATAGCACGCAATGCTGGAGGGAGATTTCACGCCAACAGAACCAACCTGAAGTCACCGCAGTAATTGTCGAACCCAATCTGACTGATGACTGCTATGCATTTGTCACGCGTCGCACGTAAATTTGGCGGGAGAGGTGGGGCTGCTTCTGCTGAATGGCAGGGAAGGGAGTTTCGAAGAGAGTTGGCGATGGCAGCAGCAGAGCTTCCAACCGGATTCCGCTCCTCCTAAGCGCATGAACAACCTGGAAAGTGGAAGGGGCGCAGCATCAGGTCGCGGCGGGATGCGAGGAGGTCGAGAAATCAGGTATGGCGGTGGCACTGGCGCCGAAAACGAGATGGGATGGGACATCGAAGAGGGTTAAGGTTAAAGCCCGAGTCCCAAATTGCGAGGCGCGTGGGTCATGCTCCCCCAAACTTGACGAAATGCTGTGTGCAAGCTTTGAAAAGTAGCGCACCTGCAATTTGGGACTTTCGGGGACTGACCCAACCCCCAGGGCGAAATACGAGGGCTGGCTGGGTTTGGCGAAAAAAAACTTTCACGAAATCGGAATCACTCGCCAAAACCCAAACCAGAAAAGCCCACAAGCGTCAACCTTTTAAAACTTGTGCAATTTGGGCTTCCGGCTTTAAGGTTATATATTGATCGTAATCAATGTGCAGGAGCACGTGGAACACACGTTATTCCTTGTCCTCGCGGACGCTCTATGCGATGGACGTCTATGGTGGTCGGAACGGGTTTCCCAAGAGCCAGGAGAATCTTAAGTCGGGGTGAATAGAGGGTGTACCGGTCTGTTAATTGATATTGCATATCTTATAACTGCCTATAGCTTGCTAGTGTATTAGTTTAGTTATTAGCATCAACTGCTGGTGGTGTACCCTCTTCTTCTCCCTTCCTCTTTCCTATATCTTGTATGCTTTGCCTTTATTGAACCCCTCTTTGGCCAACCCAAACTCCCTCGATATCCATCTCGCTATGCTACTCTCTCCCTCCAAGCTCCTAATCTCCTAAGTACTATTTGACATGGTTTCAGAGCGGTTACATTCCTAGGCCGTTCATAAGTCATGGGCCCACCCACTTCCTGCTTAGGTATGGCGTGTGGATCGTGCCCCTCTCGTCCCGCCCCCTGTTACGCGTCCGTCGCTGGATTCGTAGCGACGGTCGCGGAGGCGAGCTGGGCGCGACCCCCCCCGTCGCCAGACCCGTCGCGATCCCCGTCACTGCTGCCTCGTCACGCTCTGCCAGCCAGCAGCAGCACGTGCGCCCGCCAGAAGCAGCGCGCGCACACGCCAGAGGCGCACGCACGTCAGCGCACGCGCGCCTGCTGCAGAATGCAGCGCTCGGCCACGTTTCGTTTCCCCCTCCCCCTCTCCCCCCGTCGCGCCCACTACAGCGCTTGTCGCGGCGCCGATCGCGGCCCCCTTTTGCCCCCGTCGCCGCCCATTTCGCACCCCCCCCGTCTCCCCACCCGCGCCTACCGCCGCGTTTCTGCGTGTGGGGGACGTGATGGGTGGGGGGTGGTGGTGGGATTTGGCGGGCTGCAGGGGGGGCGCTGTGGGGGTGGCGCTCTCGGGCCTGCACCGCCAGCTCGCCCTGCCGTGCTTCCTGATGTGGGGAGGAGGGTGAGGGGCGTGAGGGGGTGGCGTGAGGGTCCAGACGGCAACAGCCGTCGCCTTCTCCTCCCTCTCCCTGCTACTCCTGCAGCGGGTGGGGGGGGGGAGGGAGGATGAGGGGGTGGTGGGAGCCTCCAGCCATCTTTCCTCCTACCCTCTCCTCTCCTCCAGCCGCTTCTCCTCCTCCTATCTCCTCTCCTCTCCTCTCCTCTCCTCTCCTCTCCTCTCCTCCTCTCCTCTCCTCTTCTCCTCTCCTCTCCTCCTCTCCTCTCCTCTTCTCCTCTTCTCTCCCCTCCTCTCTCCTCTCCTCTCCTCTCTCCTCTCCTCCAGCCGCCTCCTCCTCCGCTTGTGTGCTCCTCCAGCCGCTTCTCCTCGGCTCTCCGCCTGTGCGCCACCAGCTTCCTCCTCCTATCCAACGGTTGGTGTGAATCACCAGCATCCTACGCCCTCCGGTTATCCCAGCCCTCCTCCGCGCCCTCCGCGCCCTCCTCCGTTATGGCGTTCACAGGTGCTGCCGGCCAGCAACCGCTGTTTCTGTGCATATCCCAGCTACAAGCAACCGCTCTCCAGGCGACCTGGTGCCAGACACCACTAGCTATAGCCATAGGCAGTTACGGGGGTGTGTTAATTGATATTGCATATCTTATAACTGCCTATAGCTTGCTAGTGTATTAGTTTAGTTATTAGCATCAACTGCTGGTGGTGTACCCTCTTCTTCTCCCTTCCTCTTTCCTATATCTTGTATGCTTTGCCTTTATTGAACCCCTCTTTGGCCAACCCAAACTCCCTCGATATCCATCTCGCTATGCTACTCTCTCCCTCCAAGCTCCTAATCTCCTAAGTACTATTTGACACGGTCCTGTCGAAGAGGAGGAAGCGGAGTTTCTGTGCTCGCTTGATGCTGGATGATATACGCTGACGTTTCTTGGCCGATTGGCGTTTGCCTCTCCACATATAAATTTTGAAGGCGATGAGGAACTGGGCTAAGATGAGCTGTAGTATCTCGAAGCTCGAGGAGGAGGAGTTGCGGTGCCTGTGGTCACAGCGGCTGTTCCACAGCGTCTTGACTGCAGCTCCTACTAGTAAGCTCCATGGGGGGGACTGTCCAACCCGTGACTGTATCGGAAAGAAGATGTGTTCGGCGGGGGGGGTCTGTCCGAGGTGACGGTCAGCGACTGTGCGCAGAGCAGAGATGACGTTTCCGGCGGAGGCGCACTCGAAGAAGATATGCGGCAGTGTCTCGACAACAGCAGCAGGACACCGGGGGCAAATCCCTCGGTCGTCAAAATATTGGAAGCGTGAGCCAGAGGGAAGGGTTGGTGTGTATAGTCTGAAAAGGATATCCCGTTGGCGGCTCGGCTGGTCTTTGAGAAAGGGATCCTTAAGGCCAGGGAGAGGGGGAGGAGGAAGGGTGAGGACTCGGGTCCATCGACTGTGGTGAGTAAGCGGCTGTGTGGAGTAGAGGAGACGGCGGATGTCGGCGACGCTGGGGATGCCGTCATGTAGAAGTTCTACCCTAGCTCCTAACCCTGTCCCTGTATGAAGTGGCCCTGCGAGCCACCACTCCCTGACACTGACCTCAATGAGATCGTGTAAACGGAAGAGTCCGGTGTTTATTGGGGTGCGGCCGATGCGATGGTTGGGCGAGACGGGGTGGACAGTAGCCGAGACGGAAGAGGGGGGGATGAAGTCGACGACCTGGATAGCGAGGTGAGATATGGAGTAGTGGTCATCTGAAGGCATGAACCAGTCTCCTGGGGAAGCAGAGGATGGGTGAGGGGATCGTAGGCCGGCCCACCAGGGAGGCTTGATAGCCTCGATGAGATCTGGGAGGAGGCGTGTGGCGTCGTCGTGAAATTCCTCCGGGAGTTGGGAGCAGAACTCTTGAGCCGAGATAGGGCTGACGTCGAAATTGGTGATTCGGACAATGTGTCCGATGCAGAGTTGTCGTGTGAGCAGGAATCGTTCATGTTGGCGGGTGCCGAAAGGTCGCTCGTCGGGTTTGAGGAGCAACCGGTTGAAGGCGAGAGGTTCGGTGAGGATGCATTGCATGCGTAGGGGGGGGCCATGGATAACCAGGGGAAGAGCGAGGAGGGTTTTGAGTTCGTCCAGTGCCCGAGGGGGGATGAATGAGGGAAGGTAGTCTCGTTCAAGAATGGCTTTATGGGAGAGCAGGCCATGTAGCTCGAAGGGGAACGGTGTCAGGGTCCGTGTGACTTCCTCGGACGGGGTGGGTCCAAATCTGCGCAGGGCACGCTGGATAGTGAGGGCTTTGATTTGGGTAGATGGGGCGATCGCGCCAACCCCGCCGTCTTGGGGTGAGTTGTAAAGGAGACCATTGGGGAGGAAGCGTTGTGCGAGGCCATCCTGTTTATGTTTTGAGGACGAGAGGAAGTTTCCAACTGAAATGTTAATTCGTTTGATGGTGTCCCGCGGTGCGGGCTGGAAGCGACCGGGGAAGGAGATGACCGAGTTCAGAAAGATCGAGGACAGAGACTTGCGGCATGTGACGGTGGCATGTAAGGCCGCCAGGAATTTGGCGGTGCTTTGTATGCGAGCAAGAGCTTTAGTCCAAGTAGTGGAGCCCGGGTGTAGTCGCTCAACATATATTCCAAGGATGCGTTCTGCTTCGTCGGGAGCTCGGACGGGTATCGGCCCAGCGTGCACGAGGTCAGTGGGGGGGATGTTGAAGGGAATAATGGAGCATTTGTTCCAGTTGGGGACCTCCCCAGACACAGATCCAAAGACCCCTAGGAGCATCACTACGAGGCCGAGCTCTGAGTCTGAGGTGAGGAAGGGAGTGACATCGTCCGCGTAGCATGCCATGAGGCGGCGCTGGGCAGGGGACAAAGCGAAGCCGGGGAGGAAGAGGGACATGTAGCGGTGGAAGATCTCGATGACACAGACGAAGAGCAGAAGCGCCAGAGGACAGCCCTGTCGGACGCCCGTACGGACGGGGAAGGTGGGGCCGAGCATGTTGTTAACCGAGATTCGTGTGGACGTGTCGGAGTGCATTAGTCGTACCCAATGGATGAAGGGTGCAGGGAGACCGAGGACCGCTAAGGCTTGGAGGAGGAATGGTCTGTCGACAAGGTCATAGGCCTTTCGAAAGTCCACCGTAAGAGCGAGGAGCGGGGCCGAGGAGTAGGCCGCCCAGTCCATGATATCGAGGGTATCATTGATTGTGTCTCCAATTATCCTGTGTTTAATGAAGGCGGTTTGGGATGGGTGGATGAGCTGGGGGAGAGCTAGCTGAAGGCGGTTAGCAAGACACAGAGCGAGGACTTTGTAATCAGCGTTCATGAGGGTGATGGGGCGGAGGTTCTCCACTAGCGAGGAGTCTCCCCTCTTGGGGATAAGGACGGTGCGTCCGGTCAGCATCGACGGAGGGAGGCGAGAGAGTGGCTGTGGTGGGGACAGCAAGGAGTGGAAAGCCGGCGCAAATCGTGGGGCGAAATGCCGGAAAAGCTCCCCGGGAAGGCCATCTGGGCCAGGGGTTTTACCTCGAGACAGAGAGAGCAGCGCTTTTCCAATTTCGGCTAGGGAGAAGGGGGCGCTGAGGCGTAGGAGTAAGGGGTTCGGGATGGAGGAGGGGGGAATATGTTGCCAGAAGGAAGAGTTTGGGGTAGCAGGGTTGCTCCCGCTATAGAGGGATTGGAAGAAGCTGGAGCACATGCTGGTCATGGTGGAGAGGTCTGACGTGGTCTGTCCGTTAGGTAGGGTCAGGGAGCTGATAATCGAGCCCTTGATTCGCGAGTTGAGTCCGGAGAGGAGGGAGGAGACTCCCATTTCCCTATGCCCTTCCACTTTAAGTTTGGCCTTGAGCGCAATCTCGGAGGCTTTCGAGGCTTCGTATCTGGCCAGGTGGAGACGTGCTTGGTCGAGACGGTCGGACTCGGCCCTGTTCAGGGGTGTGTAGGCTGCTTGCCGTTGTAACGAGCCGATGATGAGTTCCAGATGTGCAGTCGTGCCGTCGACGCGACGTCTCTCCTGGTTGGAGAAGCGCTTGAGGTTCAGTGTGAGGTCGAGCTTCCAGCTGTCCCAGGAGTCCGGGGACGGGGATGAGGGGAAGACCGTAAGGGCGGAGTCGATGATTTGTGCAACATGGGGGCGCATGAGTAGATGTTGACGGAGTCGCCAGGGACGAGGGGCAACTGTGGGATTGATGAAGCTGAGCGAGCAGAGAGGGGCGTACAAGTGATCCGAAAGGAGCGTGTTAGTTTGGATGTACGGACTTGCAGTGAGGCGGGGTAGGAAGGCACGGGAGATGTACATCCTGTCGAGACGGGAGGATGTAGGCGGTGTCGCAATATTGTGGCGCTGCCTCCCAAAGAAGGAGAACACGTCGGTACGCGTGCGGTGGAGTGCACGGAAAGTGTCGACCAATGCGTGGTTGTCCATAAGTTTGGCGAAGGAAGCTCCTTCTCGAGCCTCGAAGTCTTCAGGGGGGCGGTTCCTGTCGATGGGGAGGATGACCGAGTTGAAATCGCCGACAAGCATGGATGCCGAGGCGGCGGTGGGGGCTTCTAGTGCCGGAATGAGAGTGGTGGTCCACCATATCCGGCGTCTGTAGAATTGTGTGGGGGCATAGATGGCAATGAGGCGGATTTGTTCGCGGAGATAGTTGAGGTGAACGGTGATGAGTCTGCCGTCTGCGGAGGGAAGTGGAGAGGACAGAGAGATGGCCCTGTTAAAAGATAGGATGGAGACTCCACCAATGAGAGTGGGCCTTCCTGTGGCGCTGTCGGTAGAGAGAAGAGCTGGGGCATGTGCGGAGGCGTGAGGTCGCAGCTTTAGGTCAAGGTTGGTGGTTCTGCGGATGAGGCGGGTGTCGATGAGGACGCCCAGGTCAGTGGGGGCAGGAAGTCTCGAGAGCCACGACTTAAGCTCATCCATTTTGCGGGTCCCGTTGATTCCGTTCACGTTGACGCAAAGAGTGCGGAGGTGTGTTAACATGGCGATGACGTGAAGGCCACCGCACGGGAGATCGTGCGTATCCACAGCCTAGGAAGGAAGTTGTGACAGCCAGTGCTTGGAAAAGAGGCGAAGCCCGTGGAGTGCAGGGCATGGTGAGGGTCATGGTATCGTGGCGACATCTGGTTGTATGTCAGCGTGCGAAAGATGCGGAGTGTCTTGGAGTCCGAGGACTGCCAGAGCGGTAAGCGTATGGAGGGGGTGCTTATAGTAGTGTATGTGCGAGCTACCTTTGAGTGAGCGTCACTGTAACTACCCCACAAGGCTGACAGGTGGAACAAAGCGGGTGCGGAGTGTGGCAAGGTAGTAGACAAATAGATCTTGGGTGCTAGTGAGTGGTACCTATGGTTGTTAAAGGTTCGACCCCTTTTTCGGCTTTTGATATAAATAAGTGACAATGCGGTACTAGGCAGTGTTGCCAATGTGTATTGGGAGAAGTGTGAGGCAAGATACTGGTGGCAAAGTTTCAAACTAGATTCTTTACAAGGTAGGGAGCTGCAAGGAACAAACAGGTTGTAGCTAGTTAATGCACAATCACAAGTGAAACCTATCTGACACGGCAGCATGTAAAACACTGCTGTGCAGTATCGCGGGGTACGCAGACAAGGGGCAGCAGAGGTGACTAGTGTTGCAGGCAAAGGAGGATAGGTCTCCAACGGGAGGGAAACTTCTTGGAAGCCGAGGAAGCAAGGCGATCTGCCTGGAGCACAGAATGAGAGTAGGGGCATGGAACAACGGGAGTGAGGATGCGGAGGGCGTGGGAGGTGGAGCAGCAGGGTCTCAGGGGCACCTGAGGGTCCAGAGTGGAGCCTGAGAGGCATGAGGGGGGGAGGCTGATCCGGGGGAACGGGGGGGCGGTATAGCAGCATGTTGAAAGGTGGGAGATCAAGGATAAGGCGAGCTGTGGGGGTCACCAGGGGGGAACGAGCCCGACCCGGAGGGAGAAGGGGGGACGGCGTCGTGACGACGAAGGGCACGAGACTGGGAGGGTAGGTGGCTTGGAAGCATCGGGAAGAGGGGGGGAGAGGGGTGTTGTGAGCTGAGACAATGAAGGGTGAAACAGACGCGACAGGGGTGTTAGAGAGGGAGCCAGGGAGGTCCAAGAGAGGTGGCTGGGGGCCCGATAGGCTTCCCGAAGCACAAGGCCACGCGCCAGCAGTGGCTAGAGAGGGGGTGTGAACGCACAGGCGTTGGCCACAGCGATTCACGAGAGTGGGCTGGCAGCCTGATCGGCATTCCGAGCCCGAGTACCATGCACAAAGGCAGGGGTGTTGAGGTGAAATTGGGAGCAGCGAAGCGATAGAGAGAGCGTCATTGCAGAAAGGCAGGGAAATCGACTGATCATGTGGCTTGATACGGTGCCGACTGAGAAAGGCTGGAGGGTGCGCGGTACTACTTACCTGAAGAGGGGAGCGAGAGTGGTTGCGCGGACACGCTTGGGGCTGCCACCGCTGCCAAAAATAGAAGTACGGCGAAGGTGAGACGCCAACGCAGTCACACAGAGAGCAGGAAGGGCGTTGCAGGGGGGCGTGCGGCAGGCTTTCCGTTCCGCAGGGTTTGCGCCAACGCGACTCGCGAAGGGGCGTCAGGGAGGCGAGGCGCGCGGCCAAGCCTCGTTGTGAACGACAGCATGCTTGACATAAAAATTGGGAGAGGCGTGAAGGGTGGGCGAACACGAATAGCGGAGCGATGAAAAGCAGCGCGTGCTTATCCGGCCGATTAACCGTCGGCGGCGCGAAGGCAGGAGAGGGCTTCCGGCAACTCTGAAATGCTCCGAGGTGGCAGCGAGAGCGAGAGCAGATGAGCGAGAGCGCGAGAGAGAAACTGAGAGCGAGCGAGCGAGAGCGCGAGCGTGAGCGAAAGGCGAAACTGGTCGGGGTAAGGCGTAGGGTGTTAGCAAAGGGCGGGTTTGGCCTTGGAGTTGCTACGACCTGAGCTCTGCATGACGGCGTGAGGTTAGGAAAGGATAGCGAGGTGAGCAGCGGAAGCAGACCGAAGAGGAGGACCAACTTACCTGACGCCGAAACGATGTCGAGTGACGGGAACCAGCCTGATCGGCGACGGTTTGACAGTCGAACGGTGGAATAGACAAGTAAGCTGGGGCTGCGATTATCCGCGATAGGTAAAAACCTAGGTGTTAGCCTAGGTGGCGACATAGTCGGGGGGTAGGTGGCGGAGAGGTCGTGAGAGGTGGCGTGCTCTCGTGTGAGTGAGTGAGTGGGACATCGAAGAGGGATCCTTGCTAACCTGATGGGGTTTAGTTTTTTCTGCCCAGGGGCAGATGCCAGATCAGGGAAAAACAACCGGTCCGACTAATCCCCTGAGTCTTGCCGCTGAATCTTGCCGAACGGGAAGCCGCCCGCAGGAAGGCAAGCAACGGTGGGTCTGGAGAAAGTCAAGTTGGGAAACTTCATCTACACTACAGAAGGCGGGGCGAGGCAAAATAAAATCCAACATCCTTAGGAAGTTCAAAGTGGCAGCCTTCAAAATGTGTTAATTTCCACTTTCCATTCATATTATAGACGACCATTTGCCAACCCACATTGATATAATCAAATAACCCACAAATCAATAGATTTCACAAAGCATGGAACGGAAAGTAGCTAGTAGTAGTACAAGGTGAAACTTCTGCTCTTCGACCATTATTGCTCCTTCCGCATGGAGCAAAACACTTATTTGTGGGACATCAAGATGGATGTCCTAGTGTGTCTTCATTTGTACCATACTTGGCGCTCCAGTCTCCCGATTCATCGACCAACTCCATCCAAAGCAGCATGCATCCGCACATGCGTCAGCTCAATCCATCCCCACCTGAGCCGTGGTTGCAGATGCATAGGATGCACTACTGCAGCAATGCGCTATCTCTGTGTGGCGCCGTTCCTTCATTCATTGTAAGAAAGCAATGCACTATCTCCTTGCTGTCCCACCACCACCACTAGCGCCACCACTGCTACTGCTACCGCCACCGCCACCAGCACCGCCAGCAGCAGCACCGTAGTTGCAGATGCCAAGGGTGCACTGCCCCGGGCAGCGCGCACCGCAGGCGCCGCAGTGGTCGTTGCTGTTGTCAAGATTCACACAGCTGCCCCCGCAGCAATCCAGGGACACATCGCAGAAGTTGCCGCACGTCCCGCAGTTGTTGATGTCTGTCGACTGGTCAACGCACAAACTGGTGGTTAGAGAGGGAGGGGGGGAGGGGGGGGGGGGCGGCAAGAGGGTGGGAGTGGGTGCAAGGAGAATGTAACGCGAAATAATGCAGCCTTTTGCAGTTGATGTCAATCGTGTGGTCCACACACAGGCTGGTGGAGGAAAGGGAGTGGGTGCAGTGGTTGTTGCTGTTGTCAAGATGCACGCAGCTGCCGCTGCAGCAATCCAGTGACACGTCACAGAAGTTGCCGCACGTCCCGCAGTTGTTGATGTCTGTCGACTGGTCAACGCACAAACTGGTGGTTAGAGAGGGAGGGGGGGAGGGGGGGGGGGGGGCGGGCAGGAGGGTGGGAGTGGGTGCAAGGAGAATGTGACGTGAAAAGCAGCCTTTTGCAGTTGATGTCGTTCGGTACACACACAGGCTGGTGGGGAAGAGGGAGTGGGTGCAGTGGTCGTTGCGGCTATCGAGATCTCACAGCTGCTCCCGCAGCAATCCAGTGACACGTCACACAAGTTGCCGCACGTCCCGCAGTTGTTGATCGTTTGGTCAACGCACAGGCTGGTGGGGGAGGCAGCGCGTGGAAAGGAGAACGGGTACGTGAAACAATGCAGGCTTTGCAGTTGTTGGTTTCTGTCGTCTGGTCCACACTCGGTCTGGTTCGGGCAGAGAGTGATTGCAAGGCGAATGGATATGCGAGACGATGCGTCATTATGAAATACTAGCGCGCCTCGAAAATGTTGTTGTCAGTTGCCTGGTCCTCCTCACAGAGGCTGATGGGGGATGAGAGTTGGGGCAATAGGACAAGGGAGAACGATGAGCATTATCTCAGTGGGTAAAGAGCTGCACTACAGGAGGTCAAAAGGTGATTGTTTTGAAACTTATTTGCGTGTGTGCGCCGCACGTGTGGTACTCACGAGCCGCAGACGGTCTGGTTGCTGGGGCATGCGAAGACCTGCAGGCGACGCCACTTCACTCGCGAGTTACCACCGCTGGCACCACTTCGCGACGTTCGCATGGCGTATCGCTGCAGGGAAGGGGTTCACAAGGGCAGCCAAACGAAGAGTTTCACGTCGCATGCGTTGTAACATTATGCAATATGATTCGTTCCTGTCGTGACGTCCGCGTGGCGTAACGAGGCATGAAGAAATTGCATCGGTACCACGAACTTCGGCCGATTCGCGACGTCTGCGTGTCAACTCGCTGCGCACCGAGTTACCACGCAGGGGGAGTACAATTACAGGGGAATCCTTAATAGCGAGCTGTCACGCAGACGTCAGTCGCAACGAGCTGCGGTAGAATTCCAAGGCGGCTCGCTGTGTGAGGATCAAGAGGAGTACGCGGGCGAGAAAGTGCGCAAGAAGCTTGAGGCAGGAAATTCCCGTGTGTCGAAACGATGGGTGACGGCGATGAAAGAAAAGCCGAAAGCTGCTCGAATTATTACTTCGAATTCTCTCGCGCTGGCTGTTGTGGACGGTATCGCGGCTGCTACGAGTAACGCGGCAGCAATGCAGAGAAGAAATCTCAGGTGTATCGACCTCGACTCCATCGAAATTGGCCTCCGTTTTGTCTCAGGTGTTTTGGCTACTAGGGTTGAAGGAATCCGTCCGAAGGCGAACTCGGACTAATCGTCTCTGGTACTCTTTTGTAACTAGCCTTTCTTAGAAGCACGCTCTTGTTAGGAATGTGAGGGAGAAGCAGAACTTGGGACGAAACAAAATATGGATCTGGAGGTGTTCGTTCTGAGTCGGGAGGTTACTAGGGCAGAAATGGCGGT